TTTCCACCAAAATGAGCCTCATACCTGAATGCAATACGTATCTTACTGAGGAAAAGAAGCAAACTGCCTTTCCATCACTGTGTACAGGTTCATTGTCTTGAACCCTCTCAAATGCTTGTTTTGCTTTGGATAGTATTTTGTTTACAAGGAACTAACCTCATATAGACTCTAAAATAGAAAAAATTGTGTCCTCTGTTATGAGCTCTTGTTTTGGCACTAAAAATCCTTACTGCTTTCTTTAGAAAAAAAAAAAAAAAAAAAGATGCCACCAAGGCCTTCTCAACCTTCTACAAGGAGACTGTGGGAAGGGCAAAAGGGGTGACCAGAATGCTCTGCAGTCATCAGAATAGCGCTTGTCCCTTCCCACAGTCTCAGTTCCTGGGGCTACCTCCAGAGAGAGAGTGCCCAGACCCTTGGTGGAACCTTTGCCCAGGAGTAGGCTGAAAGAGCCACACCCCACCTTGTGGCCTCTCCCGTCCTGTGGCCAGTCCAGTGCCCCTTCCCTGGCCTCTTGCTAACTGCAGCAGATGGGGAAGGACACAAGACCACTGGACTGGGAACTAGGCTTGGAACAGGATCAAAAGCCCTGCCCAGGCCTCACCTCTTCTCTGGACCTCAGCTTCATGTAAAATGGGTACCAGGAGAAGGACAAGGGACCTCTAAGCCCTGCAGTGCACCCCTGGCAATGGCTCTAGACCATTTCCTGAGGGCCTTTTTCAAGAAGAATGCCCTGGTCCAAGGGGAACAAAAGAAACATCTTTTGAGAACAGCTTTGATTTTGCAAATGCAAGTCCAAGTTAGACTGGATTTGTAGGTGTCCATTACTTGATGTGGCAAGAGATAGGGCAGGGGACTGGATATCAGCAGAAAGTAAAAGGTAATTTAGCAAGAGCATAGGTAAAAAGGAATCAAGATGACTAAGGAATGGCAAAGGAGTTGGGGGCTGGAGGGGTGGGGTGCTGACAGAAGCAGAGGGGGACAAGCGAAGAGGCGGCCTGGGGGCACCCTGGAGGGTTCCGAGCAGGACAGCATGCTCTGGCTACCTTCCTGCAAGGTGGTCTGCAGCCTCTGAGTGGAGGAAGGACGGCACTGGAGCAGGTGGGGGCCTAGGAAGCAAGGGTCCACTCAGGACACAGGCAGGGCTGTGGCTCAGGCACCTGGCCACCCTCCTACCCAATGTCTGTAGTGGCAATGAAAGGACTGGGTCTGATGTCAGGGTGTCAAGGAAGTGGTTACTAACTGGCCTGGACTAGTCGGGAGGGGGTTCAAGACCCCTCCAGATTGGGTGAGCCAGTAACTGTGTTATTTAAGTACTGTGAGCTTTATGGGCCCCAGTCCCCCAAACTAGGTGACCTGCACAGCCCCATGCTAGCCCTGCCCAATACCTGGACCCAGTAATGGAGCCCTTGATTGTCACCAGGAGGGCTGGTGGAATGAGGGACACACAGAGATGCCCAAGTCGGCCCGTGGCTTTGCATTCCATCACATTCATTCAACAAATATTTATTGAGGGTCTACTATCTGCCAGGCCCTATGTAGGAAGGGAATTGTTTCAGGGTTCCTGGGGGAGGGATGACAAGCACAAACAGGGCACTCCTGAAAGCGATGTGGAACCAAGCAGAGCACTAGGAAGTGGCTGTCTGAATGGAGTCGGCCAGCAAACAATTTGCCATCTTCTGGACACCAGCCAACCCCTCAAGTCTGCACCGTGGAGCGAGGACTGACCATACCTTCCAGTGCCATTACTGCTCTCCGCCCTGACCTTCACCTCCTTCCAAGGTCTCCCCAACTGAGCAGGGGCCGGCCCAGGTGGATCCTGGAAAATGGTCTCTTGTATTACGGCTTAGTGCCTGAGCCCAGGCTTCAGAGAAGAAACGTGAAACCAGACTACCGTCACTTCCAAGGGGAGGAGGGCAAGTGAAGGGTCCTGTGGGGGGGACTCAAGCAGGGCCACCTGGGGCCTAGGAGACCCTTGCAAAAGGAAATCCCAAGAAGGCTTGGGTGGAAAGGTGGACAGGCTGGGTCTGCCTGCCCTGCTGCCCTTAGGAGCCTTTACTCACTGGGCCTTCTCCCCTCCTCACTGTTCCCAGCCAAGGGCACAAAAGATGCAGCTTTCTTAGCACAGGAAATGAGGCCTAGGGGGTTCCCTAACTGGAAGGGGCCATCCCCTCCCTCCACACCCACCAGCTGCAGGGATGGAGCCAGGGACACTGGGGAGGACCAGGAAGTGTCTACTGAGACTGGGGAAAGGCAGGCATGGGAGCTGCTTCAGAGGCACTGCAAGAGGTGGGGCTGAAGGAGAGGAAGTCAGGAGCCAAGTGGGAGGGACCTGGTCTGAGGGCGGACCTTTCCAGAGAGCAGGAGGCTGGTGGGTTGTGATGGCAGCAACTTGAAAGGGGCCGAGGGGTCACAGAGGCCAACAGGAAGTGATGAACCCTGCAGCTCCTGCAAGTGGAACGGGCACCAATCAACCTACACACAGGAAGGAGACCCTCGTGTCCATCCTGTTAAAGTAACGTGGCGCTGCCATGATCTGCCATGATCACAATCAGCTCAAAAGCTGATGGACAAAGCAAAATTTACTTCTGCAGAAGGGGGTGTGGGTCTTGACCTAAATCAGGCAAGCCAGCACACACACACAGGCGGAAGGACTGCCTTTTTATCCTGACACAGGATTGCTGCCCCTTGCTCTAAGGAGGGAGCTCGGGTTCACAGCCTTCACAACTGGCTAACATCGAGGTTTAGGGGAGGGCATGGGGAAAAGCAGACAGGATTGGAGAGCACAGACATGAGACTTAATTTGATTGGTGTACCCAAAGACAAAAAGCGGTAACCCATAAGGCAGGAATTCCAGGATTCTGGGGAAACTGAGGCCTGATAACTTTGACCTGGAATGGCAGCACCAAGTATGTAATTAACCCTTGGGCCAAAGGGACCTTGAAGCAGAGATTCCTCTGGACAATGATTATCCTAAGACTAGCAGTTTGTTTTAGGATATTGATGACAGACAATTCTCTGCTTAAAAGCAGAAACTTTACAGTCAAGCAACGTGCCACCGAGCACACAGACAACTGGGGAAATTACTAAATCCACACAATGACAGCCATTCCATGCTGTGATACTGGGCGGGCGGGGTCAAACCCAGGACCCTGAGTCATTGTACCAACTGAGCTAGCTCTTTGACAAAAAGACCCAATCCAGTTGATTCCCACACTCCTCCAGTCTCTGCACAGCCCTGCACAGCTCCTGGGGAAATGACAGGGCAGGGGCATCACCTCCCTCCTGGAACAGTGATGTGTGCGTGTTGAGGGTGACAGACTCGAATCCCCAAATCCCCAACCCCCAGCATTTCAGGACCAACAGTCCTGGGCTGAAGACTTACTCAGCGGTCCCCAGGGTGGAGCCCTGCCCTGTCCTTCTCCAGTGCTAACCTTCCCCAAGGACCACTGGGGTTCTCTTCAGGAGCACCCCCTCAACACATCAGAGCCTTCTGCTGTGTCCTGAGCACGGCCCAGCTCATTTGTTGTTGGGGCACAGTACCCCTATCTGGAGCCCCACTTCAGCCCCTCTGCTGACGCCCAGGTCTGGAAGGCCCCCACATTTGCATCTTAGGCTCAGCCTCCACTTGCTTTGATCACTTGACCTCTCAGAACACGCCACCCAAGCCCAGGGGGCTCTAGACAAGGTCCCCACTCGGGGCACAGTTACACACTTGCATGTTGAAGGCAGCCTTCCCCTGGGCCCCTCATCCTCCCTCCTACCTTACACCTACAGGAAGGTTGGCCCCTCTCTTCCGGAAGGAGGGGCACAAAGCCCACAGCCTGGTGAGTGGCCCTGTGCATCCCCTTTACAGACGCACCCCACAGGGCACGAAGACCCAAGGCTTTGGGATTCCAGTCCCCAAGTCTGTGTCCTGGGTGTGTGGAGCTCTTCAGCCAGGCTGGGAGTCCTCTCTTCTCGTGGAGCCTTGCTTCTCTTGTATCTACCTCCTCTGCTCAGAAGCCCACAAGAACCAGACTGCCATGGCAAGAAGGGCCACTTGAGTGCCGCACACCCAGCCCAAATTGGGAAACTGAGACTGGGAAGTGGAGGCGTAGGGTATCTGTCTCACAGGGTTTGTGGGGAGGCCAAGGGCTCCTGCCTCCCAGTGCTCAGGTCAGACGGATAACTGCACCCTTGGTCACACCAGTACGGAGTGCCCAGTGCTGGGGCTTCACCAGGAAGCACAACAGAGCAAGGTTCACAGTTCATGAATAAGTAGACAAAGCGGTGTCCAGCGGTGCTAAGTGCTATGAAGGAAATAAAGCAGGGGTCTTAGCAGGCTGGGAAGGCCTGCCATAGCACCACCCGCCCAGAAAAGACCTGAGGCAGGAGCCGAAAGGGCCAGCATGGCTGACAAAGACTGGAAGAGCTGAGGTGGAGTCTCACCCAAGTCTGATGATGGCCATTGGAGCCTTTCAGCAGACATCAGGGAGGGGGGAGGGGGAGGGGGGAGGAAAAAGAGGGCTGAACTAGGGTCTGGGGGGCAACAGCAGGTTCCCTGGAGTGAGAAGCAGTGTTGTCAACCTATGGATGGTTTTTGGAGCCCTCAGGCCAGCAGCAGAGTCCCCACCCCACTGAACTGTGCAGGGCTGTCCTCTACAGTGTCTGGTAGAAAAGTGTCGTCGACTTGGGTGCTGGCTCTGTGAAGCCCTGGCCTAATGACCCCCTCCCCTTTCTTTTTTGGTGGGACTGGGGTTTGAACTCAGATGCACCCTTTTTTGTTGTGTCATTTTTTGTTGGCCACTCAGGGCCTTCCTTCCTCACCATGGTTTCCTGTGGGGTCATTGGGGAGGGGCACCATAGGAGTGGGGTTTGAGAGGGTGTGAAGGCTGGCAGGGCCCCAGTCTGTGTGCCTATCTGGGTAAAGCCTCTGACTGCCTCCCCCAGGCGTCTTTCCTCCCCATCCTATGAGACCAGTGAGCTGGGACCACTTGTCCCTGCCAGCTCAGAGAGCCTCAAGTTACAGCTGTCCTGAGCCCTGGTCCACTCACAGGCCAGGCAGCAGCCTGAAGCCCACTTGCCCACCAAGGTTGGTGTCAACTCTGAGCTGCATCTTCTGTGTCCTCCGTGACCTGGTCACAATGCCTGCCAGCACTACCCCCTGCTCCACTGGTGTTCCATACTCCAGTTATGGCCAGGCCTCCCCCAGAAGAACCTCCCCCAAACCACCTCCTGCACTGCCTTGCTCGCCCTGGAGGGTGTTACTCAGGCCCTGTCCTCTTGTGCTCCCCCCCCCAGTAAATTTTCAGATGTTTTGGGGGAAACCTAAAATGTGGGCTGCATTTTCCTTGAATCGTGTGTGTTTTAATCCTGTCATTTAGGTTTCATAAAGTGGAGTGTCAAGAGTTGGGAGCGTCTCAGGGCAATGAGTGACCCCTGGAAGCTGGGAGCCCGTGGTAGGTCTCCCCAGCTCTGCAGGACCTGCTTCACTGCCAGGGTCCACCTTGTGAGGGGTGGACTGTGAATAATCAGTTCTTGGTTCTTGAAACTCTGTCCTCTTCAGCTTCCAGGCCACAGCCATACCTGGCTTCTCTCTGTGAGAAATAAAGTCTTTTCTGTCAAAGTGTATGTCGCCATTTTAACTGCCTGTATTTGCAGCTTCTCTGTCTGGATTTCTGGTGAGCCCCCTCTACCTGTGAGAACTGCTCACTTAAGATAACCCCAAGTAGGTACAGAATTTCAGGTAGTCAAGAAGCGTGTGAACTTTTGGCCAACCCAGGTCAAGAGGCAGGCTATTCTGTTAGGGATATAAGGGGGATATAAGGGGGAACAGATTGCCCACCCTCTTGTGCTGGTTTTGCCCACGTGCAGGCTGGCACCCTTCTGGCCAAAAGTAAAGTTTAGTGTCGCTGAGACAGTTCTTTGCGCCCATGTCTTTCATCGGAATATTCACTTCTGGCACCTCCTTCCTTGGTCTCCATTGGAAGCCTCCCCTACTGCCCTCCTTTAACTAAACCTTTCCTGCCCCACAGATGAACTGAGAGACCATTCTGCCCCCCTCACCCGATCCACGCTTCTAGCCACCTGCCCTCCCTACTCTGGCCACATTCATAGGGGTGATAGCCTGGCTGCCAAAATGCGATTTCAACTGGGTCATCCACCTCTGCTCCCCTGACTCTCAAGACCCAAGCACAGGTCTCTCCTGGCCAGTCACCTGGCTGCCTCCCCTCCCCTCACCATCCACCTCATCTCTGCACCCCGGTCCACCCCTCAATGAGGCTACCACATTCACCAACCTGGGCTCAGCCTGGAATGGCACTGTTACCGAGGTCTGCCTCCATCTTGCTGCCTCTTTGGAACAGGGGCACCTTTCATGATGCCTGGCCTGGAAACACTGCATTTCCCGAAGAGTCTGTGTCAAGCTGTGCAGTCTCCGGAAGGCCCTTTCAGCTCTGAGGGCCTTGGCTCCATAGCACTTGAACTCCTGATAGGAAGTTCTGCTTCACTTTAATTACTGTGGCTGAGGACCGGGACCCTCAAGGTTTTCTTCTCCGGCCTTAGCAGGTGGTCCACTCATTGGCCCTTCTTTCTGCGGGGAGTGTTTGACCTTTGCAGGGTCTTGGGCCGCAATCTACCTTCTCTCCTTGTAGCTATTGTGCTGGGACTCTCAGCTCTTCCCTGGCTCAAACTCCTGACCCATCCGCAAAGACTCCCACCTTCAGGGTCCCCACCCGAAAACCATTTCCCCCCGAGCATCATGCCTTGGTCTCAGCTTCCCCCAGGGCAGGCTTCTTTGGCCTATCACCTCTGCACACCCAGCACTGGAGCCAGCAGCCCCGGTAGCACGTCACCGGCGCCTTGGGGTGGGTGTGGAGCAGGGCCAGCAACTAAGAGCAAGTCCCCGCCCAAACGCTCCCACCCTGGAACCTCCATTTGGCTTTAGGGGGATTAGAAGCGACTCTTTACGCATCACAAAATGGGGGTACTTGGAGCATCAGGGAGCGGCCATCAATGTCCCCGGAGAGGCTCTGTGTGCCAGGTCCCCAGGCCCATGATCCCAGACACGCAAGCCGAGGGCCGGCGCCCCCCAACCGCTCCACTCGTCTTGGGGGAGCCCCCCGCGCAGCCGTCCTTGCACTCTCGACGTTGCGGGGGCCGACCGCATGAGGGCGCGCCCTGTGTTAGTTCGGACGAGTTAAAGCTCGTCCCGCGGGCAGGCCCGGGGGTCCCGGGCCACGGCGGGGCTCGAGTGCTCGGGGCGCACTCTCGGCTACCGCCGCCAAGGCTCGGGGCCTTGGTGCCTCTTCCGGGACCCGCGCTATTCGCTCCCAAACGGGACGCCCCCCTGCTCCGCACTCCCGCAGCCCAGGGGCGCGCCTCTCTGTGCCCCCTCGCCGCGCCCGTCCGGGACGCGGGACGCCTCTCGGCCGCACCGGGAGCTCGAGCCCAGTCCAGGGCGCACGGCTGCGGCCGCGGCGGCGCCAGGGAGGCGCGGGCCAAGGAGCCAGCGGCCGCGGAAGGTGCTCCAAGAAGCACAAGTTGGCGCTGGCCCCGGCCCAGGCTGTTGTTGTTCTCAACGTGGTCCGCCATGGAGAAATAAAAGCGGAGCAGGGCGCCCTCCTCTCCAGAAGGCAGCGCGCACGCCCAGAGCTCCGGTGCCGCGCGGCGCGGCGCGCTCTCCGCCAGGTCTCCGGCGCTCGGACCCCGCTCCTCGCCCCGGCCCCAGCCGGGACCCTCGCCCGCACCCCCGCCCCCACCCCAGCCCTGCCGCCCGGCCCAGGCCCGGCCGCGGCCGCTCCCGCCTGGAGCCGCCGCGCGCCTCCAGCCCCCCGGCGCCGCCTCGGCCCCTCGCCTTCCTCTTCCCGGCGCGGCCCCCCGGCTTCCGCGCGCCGCCCGCCACCAACCCGCTGGCCACCATGTCGGTGGAGCTGGAGGAGGCCCTACCGCCGACGAGCGCCGAGGGGGCGGCCCGGAAGGCGGCCAAGGCGGGCGGCCCTGCGGCGCCGTCCCCTTCCAGGAAGAGGAAGAGCAGGAAGAAGAACCAACCGGGCAAGTACAGCCAGCTGGTGGTGGAGACGATCCGCAGGCTGGGCGAGCGCGGCGGCTCGTCGCTGGCCCGGATCTACGCGGAGGCCAAGAAGGTGGCGTGGTTCGATCAGCAGAACGGGCGCACCTACCTCAAGTACTCGATCCGGGCGCTGGTGCAGAACGACACGCTGCTGCAGGTGAAGGGCACCGGCGCCAACGGCTCGTTCAAGCTGAACCGCAAGAAGCTGGAGGGCGGCTCGGAGCGACGCGGGGTCCCCGCGGCCGCCGCCAGCCCCGCGCCCGGCGCGCACAGGGCCGGGAAGGCGGCGGCCGGCGGACGCGCGGACAGGAAGCCGGCCAGGGCGGCGAAGCCCGAGAGTCGCGCGCACAAGAAGGGCAAGGGCGGCGCGGCCAAGAAGGCGGCGGCCGCCGGGGCCAAGAAGGTGAAGAAGGCGGCCAAGCCCAGCGTCCCCAAGGTGCCGAAGGGCCGCAAGTGAGCGCGACAGACCCGAACGCCCCTGTCCCGTGGCCTACTGGCATTTCGGTTTCTCCACCCCACTGCGTTCGGTTCTGTACGGTCCGGCCCGGCCCGCGCCGGCCTGGTACCCTTGCCCCCGCCCCTCCCCCCGCCCAGCGATGTCGCCTTCTGTTGTTTGCTTTAGGTTTTTGAAACGGCCCTGGCGACGCCCCCATTGGCTCTCGCCCTTGGCAACGGCCGTCGCCATAGTTACCGGCCCTGCGGCGCCAATGGCCTGACGGCGCCCGGGCCGCGGCTGTCCACCCCAAACCTTGTGCGTGCAACGCCCCCCTCCGCGCGTCGGTCTCCTGGGGCGCAATAAAGTGTTCAAACCAACGCCCGCCTTGTTGCCTGGGGAGCGGGAGCGGCGCGGGCTTCACTAGGCCCAGAGCCTTGTGGGGCTGTCGGGGTGCCGGCCGGGCTGGTCGCGAAGGGGTTATGGGGAGGGTTGGGTAGGACCCGCCCGTGGCGGGAGACCGGGAGGTACAGCCACCTGAAGGGATGGGCAAGTTACCCTTGCACCGGCCATGGGCAGCGGCGAGGGGGCCTTGGAGGTCTCCAGGAAGCCCAACCCGCGCCACGGTGCTTAGTCGTACTTTTTGGGTTTCACTTTGCATCTGAGATGGAACGGTGGCTCTCAGGCTCGGCCTCCCCTGGACCACAACCTGAGGTGTGCCCTAGCCCGCTGGCCAACGCAGAGTAATTTAAAGGAAGCGAGTTGGCCGCACGGTTAGGGATAGGGACTATTCTGCAAATGGGGGAGCACAGTAGCTATGCACACCCCGGTGGGGTGAGCCGAAGCCAGGATTAGGTGAAATGTAGTGACAAGGTGGTACCTGATCTATCCCTGGCAGCCAGTGCCCTCCCCTGAGAGGGTGGTCATGTGGAGGATCCTCAGCCACCTGCCTCTTGAAGTCTTTTCGTGCCTGACTATTGGCTCCTCTGGGAATAGCAGGGCCAGATGCCTTAGCCAGTTCCAGGTAGCCTGAGCCTGCCCTGCCCAGCTTTGGGTCAGTTGGGGTATAAGTCACAGACACGGCTCAGCTGGTCATTGCCCACCTAGCAGAAGTTGAGAGATCTGGTGACAGTTGCCTGTGCATGGGTGCGCCATTACAGGTAACAGCTAGTCCACATCTGCATCCCTAGGACTGGTCTCCATCGGCTACCCGGGTAGCTCTGAGGCCCCCAATGGGCTACGAAGGGTTGTTCCTGTGCCTGCCCCATTGTTTCCAAGAACTACCACCCATCTTAGCAACTGCTCTCTCAACTAGAGTCCTGCCCACTCATTCTGGCCTGTCCATTGCATCGTCTTAGGAGCTCCTGGGCCCCTTCCCCTTGTCCTTATTCTTCATAGTCCTTCCATCTTTCTCCCCACCCCACACATCCTTCTGCCCTTTGCTCTTCACACCACCGACTAAGTCAGTTGTTGATTGGCCCCAGTGATTGGGCCAGAAATGTGGTTTCGGCCCCAGTGAATTAAATGTCAGTCAATCCTGGGACCTTCTGGAGCTACTAGAAATAGGTGCTCTTTTCCCCAGAATCACTAGATGGTAGGGACATGGGGCCAGAATTGCTAGTGACTATGTTTTGTTAACATACGGGAGAGCCTGCTTGAAAAAGGAGCCAAGACAGGGAAAGCTGGGGGGCAGTAAATGAGCTGAAGACATGGACTCTGGATCCAGCCATGCCTGAAGCTCAGACAGACTGACTCTGGGCTTTGTGTCCAAGCCACTTTGAGTTGGGTTTCTGTCACTTGCACTCCTTTGACTCACCTTCCCTCCCACAACTGCAATCCTGGACGTTGTCATCCCTCCAAACTACCAGTCCAGTGTCCCCAGGCCCCTTACCACAGCTTGCTCATGCAGCCCCTCCAGCTGGGCTACTTTACAGGATTTCCCAAGGTGGGTCGAAGTCTGTGTCCTGGAGGGGCACCCCAGGTCAAAGTCATAAGGCCCCAAACAGACGCCCTTGAGTACCTGCTGTGGGCCAGGTGCTGGGAGGAGGGCTGCAGAGTCAGCCTTGAAGCAGTCCAGCAGGAAGGTGAGTACAGGTGACTACCCATGCAGCTGCTTCATCAGCCACTAAGCAGGTCAGGATTCAAACTGTCATACCTGACTCCAAAGCCTGTGTTTCTTCCCTGAAACTACGTCTACCTCGTGCACTGGTCGGGGGAGTCTATGATCCAGTTCCTTACTGTGTGTCCTGGACCTGGCCCTAACCAGCCTCAATTCCAGTTGAACACTAAAGGCACCTGACACTCAGGCAAAGGAGAAGGGCTTCCTGGGAGAGGTGGCTTGGTGCAGCCTGGAGGCAAAGGATTTGTCTGTAAACAGCCAGGGTCTGAGCACTTCTGCATCCATTAATTAGGAGGTGTCAGACAGAGCCAGTACCCCCCCACACACACCCTCCACAAGGGGTTTGGTTGTCAGATGCTCACACCAAAAATATTTTAAAGTGGAAACTAAACTATTTTTGTGTAATTTCCACTTTTCAAATATGGGCTTAAAAAAATAAACACTCCATCTCATGTCCACTAGCATGGCTACTACTAAGACAAGAGCAGAACAGAACAAGCTGGGGAGGGTGAGGACACTAGAGATACCATGCACATTCGTGGGAAGGTAAGAGGGTGCAGCCACCACAAGAAATGGTACGATGGCTCCATAAAAAGTCAAACAGAATTAATGTGCAACTCAGCAACTGCACTTCTGGACACATCCCAAATAACTAAGGGTAGTGACTTGGAGAGTTCCTCGAACATCTGTATTCATGGCCACACGACTCACGACAGCCAAGATGTAGAAGTGACCAGAAAACCCATGACAGATGAATGGCTAAAGCCAATGTGGTCTATCTGTGCAATGGAGTACTATTCAGTCTTAAGAAAGGAAGGAAATTCTAATGCTTGCTGCCACATGGACCTGAAGATAGTTAAGCAGACACAACAAATGGACAGACTGTACGGGTCCACTTATTTGAAGTATTGGCAGTAGTCAGATTCAGAGTGAAATGGCAGTTATCAAGGGCTGAGGAGAGAGGAAAATGGGAAGTCACTCAATGGGTCAAGAGTCTAAGTTCCACAAGACAGAACAGTCAGAGACTGGTTGCACAGTAATGTGAATATAACTAACACTGTTGAACTGTACACTCGAAAGTGGTTAAGATGGTGAATTTTATGTCATGTGTATTTACCACAATTAAGGAAAAACACTATGTGGGCCAGACAAGATCAGTGTGCCATGTGCCTGCCGCCCACCAGTTCTGAGATCACTCAGCCTGAGTGTCCATGACCAGGGCTGAGAGCTGGAGGCTGGGTGCTGTGCCTCCCAGAGGGCCCTTTCCTTGACATCTCAGCCCAGACTGGCTGTACTTTAAAACCCAACCTGTTGTGTTCGTCAGTGACTGTCCAGCACCCTTGACGCCCCAGTTGATCCATTGCCACCCCTGCCCCAAGCTTCTGTTGTCAGCTGGGAGTGCCACCTATGGAGCTGAAGCCTGCCTCTCCTCTCTGAGCCCTGGCCACAGTCAGGTCCTCACCTCACCATCTGCACGAGCGGCACTGCTCCTAGTAGGTCCTGGGTCTCCCCCAGCAACCAGCATGTGTTGCTCTGGGGTGCTGTCAGTTTGGTATGGTGACCTCCCCAGAGAGGGCGAAAGGCTTAATGAAGATTTTACACCTTGTGGGGCAGCGCTCCTCTCCCTGGAGACAGGTCTCAGCATTCCCTCCACTTGGTCCTCTCCAAGAAGAGGGTGGTGGGCAAGCTGGGATACAGGGTCTCCAAGAAATGCCTCTCTGCTCTTCTGTGGCCTCTCCATCAGTTCATTTCACATATACATGGGGATCTTCACAAGAGATGAAGTCTGAAGAAATGACAGAGCAAGACATGTTTATACTCTGTAGAGAAAAAGAACAAGAAGTCAGTGAAGCAGTGGCAGAGCAAATGGATCTCTGGGCTAGAGGTCCAGTTCTAGAGATGGTAGAAGATACACATGGAGGAGGGAGGTAGAAGCTGGGGGCAGATAAGGGCCAGTGCAGCTCCACCTACCACCTGTGATGGTACATCCCCCAGAAGAAACTTCGTCTTGCTGCGCACAGGAAAAGACAGACCCAGTGGTCATTAATGAAGTTACAGTTCCTCAAGCAGTTTCAGCTTCAAGTTATCAATATACCACCACCTCAGCATGTTTTGAAGGCCCAGGTGGGGCTCAAGGAGTCCCAGGCCAAGGCTGCTCTTGTCTCTAGCTCCCACCAGAGCACCTGTCCTCCAGACCTTTCCAGGCAACATGCAGGATCTTGTCCAGCTTCTCCAGCTGAGACCTCTGCCCACGCCCTTGGATTTGTCCTCAGTGTACCTGTGCCACGCTCCTCCCTTGACGGGTCTGCTTTTGCCTCAGTACGAAGCAGGACTGGGCTTTAGGCAGACAAGCTGTGCCTGCAGTATTGCTGCAGATGGACTGCGGGCAGGCGTGAGGACAGGGCGGCACTGTGTGTGGCAGGACCAGGAGCAGGGGCCTCTAGGCTGCAGCACAGGAAAGAATCCCTGGAGTCAAGCCTGGTGGCTGCTGTAGGGGACTGGGGAGAAGGTGGGGAGGTGGCCATCTGGGAGGCCAGCCAGCGGATTCTAGGGCTGCTCCTGATCCATGAAGGCGGGGCCCCGGCTTACCTGGCCACACCCGGATAGGCAGGTGAGGGCTGTGCGGCCTGATCTCAATAAGGTTGAAAGGAGGCCAGCGCCAGTGACCAGCACTAAATATGGGCGAGGAGGGGACACGGGGATCCACTCGCTGCGAGCAGGGGGAGCACGGGGGCGTCCCGCCCCGGCCCTCGCCAGCAGCGGCGTCCACGCACCCGCAAGTCACGCAGGAATGTGCCTCCGACGCCACGTGTGTGGGACGGGTCACTTTGTGAGCCTGGTCCTCCTTCCTGTTAAGAACCCACAAGCGAATCTGCAGCCTTGGAGAACAGTGGAGCGATTGAAAACAAAGGGAGTTTCACTTATCAAATGACGCAAATATGAAAGTAGGTCGTCCAGTAAATACCTGGCTCAAGTTTGAAAAGTCCGTTAATAAAACGACCGAGCACCAGCAAATCAGCCCCGAAGCGCCCGCGGGCGGAAGGCCAGGGTCAGAGGCAGCGCCCCCGGCTCCGCCCCGCCCGGCCGGGTCTGCGCGGCGGCGCCTCCGATTGGCGGAATCCCGGATCCCTGATTTGCATAGGGCGCGAAGCGCGCCGCCCGCGTGGGGGGCGGTTCCACCCCGGCCGGATGCCGGCCGCGCGGCCGAGGGGGGCTGGCGCTCCGCCCACCGCCCTGCTTCTCCCACCCGGAAGCCGCGGCACCGGCTGTGCAGACCCCGCGCCTTCCTCCCGACGGCTGCGGGGAGCCGGCACTCAACTGCAAGGTGTGGTCCCCAGCTCATCAATACCTGGCAGGGCCGCACATAGCAAAAAAGCAGCGTTTTAACAAACATTTGTACCTGTTGACAATGAGAAAAACAATGGTGAGAAGTGACCCCTGCGTCCATGGATCTGACGATTCGCGCAGGGGTGGACAGAAAACATTCCAAAAGACTCATGAGTGATTCGGTGCCCCAGGAAAGCCACTAAGAAGGGGCGCCCTGTCCCCTGTAGCCTCGTGATTGTGTGTTGTTGGAAACAGAGCCCACTTGGGTCACAACTGAGTGTTCAGTGCCCATGCCCACCATAGGTCAATGGGATAGCCCCTATTTTCATTCAGACCACAGGCTCCTGGGGGCCCAGTAGAATGGAACCAGCTCTGTCCTATCCCTCCTCATGGCCTTCCAGGGATGTCAGACGACAGTGTTTTCCTCTCTGGCCCCCCCGTGGATGGGCTGATATTTCCCCTGGACGACCTGGCCTCTGCTTCTGGTCTGGGGGGTCTTGGGAGTCCCTGGCCCATTGGGGACATTCACTTGTCCAGTGCCCTTCCTGACGACAGTAGGCACATTGATTTCGCCCTGGCTCCTCCCTAGGGTGGAGGCATCCTGGGGGCATTGGTCACCGTCTGTGGTGACTGCCTGTGCCTCTGCCTGGATTAGCTCACGGGGGCTGCCTAACTGTTCAGCAAGGGCTGCTGCAAGGAGGTCCACTTTCCTTTTCATCTTCCTGTCGGCCTCCCGTCTTGCCTGCCGTCTCAATTGACAAAAACCTTTGTGGCCACCCCCAGAAGCTGGCTGGCATTCATTCCAGTGAATCCCTCCAGTTTCTGTCATTTTTGCCTTATGTGCCCCCGGGCCTGGCCAACAAAAGTGGAGTTAGTCATCACTGGTTTCCAGTGGCTTTCGGGTCAAAGGGGGTGCACAGGTGGAAGGCCTCACACAGACGCTCATAGAACTGGCTGGGACTCTCTTCTGGCCCTTGGAGGAGCTCTGATGTTTTGCTCACATTCATGGCCTTTCTCCCTCCTTCCATCATGCCTCCCAGTAATGCCTCCTGATGCCGTTCAAGCCACTGGTAATCTCGGCTATTATTGGGGTCCAGTGGGGGTCCTCCTCAGGGGAACTGGGCCTGAGCGTATGCTTGGGTGTCTAGGGTGCCCTCAGGGACATGGTCTTCTAACCACTTTAGAGCTGCCAACATTATACGGCGTTGCTCTTCAGTATTTATTAAATAGAGTCAGGAGAAGCTGTCGACAGTCTGCCCAGGTGGGTTTGTGAGTCTGGATGATAGACTGCATCAAATCAATCAGAGTCTGAGGCTTTTCCGTGAAGGAGGGGTATGATGCTTTCCAGTTGAGGAGCTTTGTGGGAGGAAAAGGCTGGTACACAAATGTCCACCCTCCTTGTATTTGATCATCCTGGTCATAATACACTGGGCTCTGGTCTTCCCTCAGGGGCATCTACAGGGCAGTGGGAGTCTGAGGAGACTGGCTAGATGTTCCTGATCGAGTGCGGGATGGGGGGTGAGCACTAGCAGAGTTGGAGTGGACATGGGGTCCACAGGACTCAGTGAGGTCAGGGCAGTTGAGGCCCCAGAGGCTTCCAGACCAGATTTTACAGGTGTGACTGTCCCTCGGGCTTCCCCATCCAATGTTGAAGGTGAGGGTGTGGAACTGGGCACTGGTGGCAGAGGTGGGTAAAGCAGCACATAGGGTGGTGGAATTTCCTCGGGTTCCTTGGCCAATTACAGGCTCCTTTGTTTTCTCTATACACTTGGAAGTTACAGCCACCCTGGCTACCATAGTCCTACAGGCCTCTTCCAGACAGGGCCTTAGCCATGTGGGCTGGCTGAGGACAGCACCCTGCCAGCAGTCAATATAGGGAAACTGATCTGGGTGCCCAGGCTTCCCTAGAATTACCCTAGAAACTTCATTAACCACAGTTTTACCTAGTGACCCTTCTGGGGGTCACTGTACACCAAAAGCAGGCCAATCTACTTCACAAAGGGCCTTAAGCTTGTTAGGAGTTAACTCCACAGTCTCCATTAAATCTCTTTTTAAAGTTTTTTAACCATACACTCCAAGGGAGTGTTTTTACTCTGATTTCCACCCATTTCCTCCCATTACCAGACTGTCAGACAGACACAAAGGGGTAGGAGTTTTGGAGAAGGGGGGGGCCCTATTCTTCCACACACAAGGGAGAATATGCGCCCCTTATTGGTGACCTGGATTGGTTGCTCGGCCAGGAATTGCACCTACACAGTGTCCTCACTTGCTTCATCCCTCCCATGCTGCTCCCCTTATGGGGATTTAGGCATCTCTTAGCCATAGTGTCTGTATAAACCCGGAACCGGAGGCCCTGTTAGGGCTCACCCTAGACCATATGGCCTCCTCCCTGCTACAGAGCCACAATGCCAGCCCATTTTTGTGATAGGTTTTTTGATAGGGTCTCTAACTATTTGCCTGGGGCTGGTTTCAGAATGTGATCCTTCTAAGCTCTGCCTCCTGAGTAGCCAGGATTACAGGCATGAGCCACAGGTGCCCAGGTCAAGTGGTCTTTTCTTAACTACTTTTGATTTGTATCATTAGTACAGTAGCTGGAGCTGTTACCATGTGCAGAAGATTGTGGAAGCCCAGCAGCAGAGTGGTGACAGGGAATACCAATGAGAAGACAGCCAGAGTTCCAGAGTAGCCAAGGCAGAAATGATAAGCAGAGGCAACAGACAAGGAGGGTCGTGAAGGCTGAAGATGAGACAGTGCAGGCCCTTTGCTGGAAAGGTTCCAGAGAGCTGCCCACTCTCTGGGACCAAGGGTCTCAGAAACCCTGAGGTGTCACTGTAGACTGAAACAGCACCTGAGGCTTGTATGAGAGCTGTAACTAGACAGTGCCACCCACCACTGCCCAGGATTACAACAGTGGACTGTACTGCCCAGGGGTTGAAACCCAGAATAAGCCTCCCACTGCAGTGAGTACCTGGGAACAGGCCCTTAGCTCTCAGAGCCTGCAGCTGAAAGCCTCTGGGTCTGCCTGTCCAGGCCCTAGCCCTTGGGCAGTCACCTACTATTATTTCTATCAGAGGAGAGCAGAAACATCCCAGACGACTAGTAACAGGAGCCAGGAGAGCATAATCACAGGGGCTCTCACATTTACCAGTGGCCTTAGTTGTAGGCCTCAGAAGGCAGCCCAAGCCCATGTCACTGCTGGGCCCTGCTGTACCCAGATCTTATGCTCACCATGTGTCCTCTGCATCCCATTCTCCCCCAAGTCCCTCAGCTAAGTATGGCAGCCACTCCACTCCGGCTGGTTTTAAGCTAAAGGATTCAGACAACTTCCAAGTATTAAGTGTGAAAAGAGATGAAATGAGGAAGCCCTAGCCCTTGTGTAGATGTTTTCTGAGGTGCCCCCTTTATAATAAAATCCATTCTGTAGGACAGATGCCAGGAAAAACTGGGTAAGTTCAGAATTCTCCCCACCAGCATACTTTTCCAAAATGTAGGCCACGGTTTATGAAATGTAATTTATTCAGAACAAAATCACATTGTAAGAACTTGAATCTTTTTAAATGACATAAAGAGCCCAGAAGTTGAGAAGAAAACAATCTGCTAGAACAGCAGGCTGGGTCTGACCAAAGCCAGGTAAGGCTTGGAGGAAAGGGCACTAGGCACAGGGCCCCTAGGAGACCACAGGTAAAGACAGCTGGCTCAACTCCCTGGCTGCCCTACTGAGAGCCACTTGCCTCATAATCTCTTTAAGTGTCAGTTAACACTATGTCACTTTTTCCCCAAGCAGGTATACTCAACTGCAACACAAGAGCCTGTTATGAGCAGCAGTACTGAGTGCAGACCACAGTGGGTCTCTGAAGTCCTGTTACTGATTGTGAGGCCGCTTGGCCTCGGGCTCCTCCTTATCCTGTTTCAGCCATCGCTCCAGAAGTCCTGCGCTGCCTCTCTTGGTGGAAAATGTGCTCTTCTGCAGGAACTGGCTGGACCACTGGGGTACATCCAACTCCTCCTTCTGTGGTGTTTTGGGGACTTCCTTTCTGGGTGACTTTGTGGCCAGCCACTGCCTGCTGCCACTTGCTTTGGGCTCCTAGAAGAGAGAAGGCAGCCCTCACATCCAGCTTTAGCTTTTGAGAGAAGATGGACTCAGAGAAGAGACTGAGGAGAAGGCATTAGTCACTGGCCCAGGTCTGGACAATGGGAAGGGAGGGGCCACTCTGTATTCCAAGGGTAGGGGAGTAACACTTGGAGAAGGCTTCACAGAGGACACCAGTGAGAGAAGAGAACTGAAGAGCATTCCAAACTTGTGCAGAGAAGGAAGCAGTCTCCAGGAAATAATGTAACCCAGTGAGGCTACAGAGTGTGTTGGAAAATCAAGCTGGGGAAATATGGATGAGTTTCCAAAAGCCACTACAATCAGGGATACACAGGCTAAACTTTGTGTCTCCTCAATTGTCAGTACTCCCCTCTGCTCCTACCCCCAAACTGAGATGTTAGCGTAACGCAACCACTCCAGAATGTGACTCCGTGTAGAAGGAAGTCTATGGCAGAAATGGAGCAATGCTGGATGCCGGAGGCTCACGCCTGTAATCCTAGCTACAGAGGATGCAGAGATCAGGAGGAATGTGGTTCGAAGCCAGCCCAGGCAAATAGTTCATGAAGCCCTATCTCAAAAATACCCAACACAAAAAAGGGCTGGTGGAGTGGCTCAAGTGGTAGAGTGACTGCCTGCTTAGCAAGTGTGAGGCCCTGAGTTCAAACCCCAGTACTGCTCCCTCCCCCAAAAGGAGCAATGTCCAGTGTAAAAGGAATATACATAGCTACATTCATTCACTCATTTATTTATTTATTGATGGCCCTGGTGTTTGAACTCAGGGCCTCATGCTTGCTAGGCAGACACTCTTACCACTTGAGCCACTCTGCTGGTCCTGTAACTTCATTTTTAGAGAAAAAAAAGCATCAGGGTTGTGAAAGTTTGCAGAGAACTGATACAAAAGAAAAAAAAGGTGACAGTGATCACAAGTATAGAAAACAAAAAGAGAAACGGGGAAGAAGAGGCAGCTAATCCCACAGTCCTCCTTGATCCTGCTCAGGTCTATTTTTTTTTTTCTTCCTTGGCACTGGGGTTTGAACTCATGGCCTCAATGCTTGCTAGCCTGGTGCTCTTACTGCTTGAGCCAGTCCACAAGCCCTTTTGTGATTTTTTTTTTTTTTTTTTTTTTGAAGATAGGGTCTCATGAACTGTTTGCCCAAGCTGGCTTCAAACTGCAATCCTCCTGAGTAGCTAGGATTATAGGCATGAGCCACCAGCACCTGGCTGAGACATCTGTTCTTAGAACATTTTGAGCATGTCCTGCTTCATGACCCTCCATGCCACCTAGAGACAATCACTACTCCTGAAGGTCAGTGGGCCAAATTTATGCTATGGGGTTTCCTACCACACTCAAGCCTTTTCCCTGGTCAGACCCTTGCTAATTCTGAGAAGTTTCAGTGCATGGCAGGAAGGCTCTCAAATGCGTCCAGAGACTGAGGGCTGGAGCTACTCAAACTTGTACTTGGAAAACAGACATTAAAAATAAGTCAGCAGGTAATGAAGCTGTAACAAAGGCTGCTTTTTCTCACACTCACCCTTGAGATTAGAAGTCCTTTGGCTTATCAACCACACCAAAGAAGTTTCTTAATGATAAAGAAGCTCAAACCACGCCCTGAATACTGATTGGGGATATCTAGATAAGGTCCAGTCTTTATTTTGTGTGTGTGCATGCACACATGGTGCTGTGGATGGAATCCAGGGTCTCACACATGTTAAAAAAGTGCTCTGTCATTAAGCCACACTTTGAGTCCCAACATTTCCATTTTGGAAGAGCTTTCCAACAGCTGGATTTGAGAATCACTGTTCTAGTCTATCTTGCAGGCCCAATTTTTTGTTTGTTTGTTTTTATGGTACGGGGTTGAACTCAGGGCCTATGCCTTGAGCCATTCCACCAGCTCTTTTTTGTGAAGGGTTTTTTCGAGATAGGGTCTCGTGAACTATTTGCCCAGGCTGGCTTTGAACCATGATCCTCCTGATCTTTGCTTTGTGAGTAGCTAGGTTATAGGCATGAGCTACTGGCACCTGGTGAAAATGAAAGCTTTTGGTGGTTTAAAATTCTGACTGTGATGAAATGACCCAAACATTGTATGCACATACGAATATAATAAAAAAAGAAAAGAAAATTCTGACTGTGAGCTGGGTGCTGATGGCTCACGCCTGTAACCTACCTAGCTACTTAGCAGGCAGAGATCAGGAGGATCGCAGTTCACAGCCAGCCCAGGCAAATAGTTCACGAGACCCTATCTCGAAAAAACCCTTCACAAAAATAGGGCTGCTGGAGTGGCTCAAGATGAAGTCCCTGAATTCAAGCCCCAGTACCACAAAAAGAAAAAAAAAAAAAGATGGAAAGAAAGAAAAAAGTTCTGACTATGAAAGCTGTATCCTGAAATAAAAAGGCCACACTGACAGAAGACAAAGGACTGAAAAGACTGAAAAGACTCAGAGGACTGAAAGCCATAAACCCTTACCTTTTTAACTACCAAGTCAGCAGGAGCCAGACACTCAGGAGTGTTGTTTCGAGAGTTGTTCACGATTATAGACACTGGATGGAAAGTGATGTTCTCTGTGGGGTGTATTAACTTCAGAGCTTCCTGGGTTGAGACCTGGCCGAAGTCAAGCCATTTGGAGACTGCCTCCTCTCCATCTAGTATGGCAGGCATCCTAGACAGGGAGATTAATAAGGACAGTCAGGACCCAATGAGGGTGGAGAAAGGAGAGACGTGAGTTGCTGATAATGCAGCCACCACAGGGGACCACGGCCCCTGCTCTGCACCTCACATGCTGTCTCAGCCACACACTCCCCCATGCAACGTGACAGGACATTACGCTCGATGCCTGGAGAGCTAGCCACACTGTAAAGCTTCATGGTGGAGGCAATGAGCAGTGCTACAGAAGGATCTATTGCATGCCAGTGTTAACTCTAGCAAACTGGTGAATTTCTACAGTGCTCTTGAGAAAGAACAAGCCTGGAGTTCAAATCCTAGTCTCATTAAAAAAAAAATTGTGTGTGTGTGTAGGGTTAGGATGTAACTCAATGGCAAATTCTTGTTGACCATGCCCAAGGCTCTGGGCTTCATACCCAGCATGGAGGGAAAAAAAAAGAAGAAAACACACACACACACACACACACACACACACACACACGAGAAACCCAGGGCCTTGGGCATGACAGACACATGTTCAACCATAGGCTATACTCCCAGCCCCTAAAAATGTTAAATCTCTGAAATCCACGTGTACAATTATAATCAGCCAAACCAACTCTAATAATATCTTAAACAAGTTAAACTTCCTGCTCTCTAGAGAGGAAAGGAAGTGGCTTGCCTGTGGTGGATGTCACGCAAGGCTTTGCAGGAGTCCACAGTGATGATGGTGTAGGAATACAGGAGGTCCCCTCCCTCTGGGGGCTCCCAGCAGTCAAAGATCCCCGCCATTGTCAGCAGCCTCCAGCTGTCCCAAACCTTCTCCCAGTGCTTGGGGCTGTCAGCAGCACCACTGCTGGCCGACTGGAAGTAGAACGGGCAGATTAGACACTCAGCAATCCTCTTGCTAGCACATGGGTGCTGCAAACCAACAGCAAGGCGGCCATTTAGAAGTCATTTAGCCCATTCCTGACTGACCCACCCCACCTGCTGTCACCAACAAAGTGCTGTGAAGCTAATGCCAACGAACTGAGCCTGAAGGCAGCTGGATTCTTTAACACAAGGGCTCCAAAGCCATAGGTTTTGGCCTCCTAATACTCTCAGAATTGAAAACCTTCACTTGGCATTCAGACCTTCAACTGCACATCAGTCTGAACCCAAGCCAGTCATTTGCAAATGAAACTCTCCCACTACTCCATGGTGTGTCCTGCAGAAGCAACCCTCCTCTGCCCCAGAGTTTCTTCCCACCCTTGTTCTCATCATACCAGCTCCTACTTACTGTTTAAGATTCAGTTTAAACCTAGAATATAGGAAGCTGAGAGAACATCACTTCTACCTAACAGTAAGAAAAAAGCTGGGTAATTTACATAATTTGTCTTAAACTTATCAGCGAACTGATGTTGCTAGACAACCCATAAACTTGCAATTTGAGGACAGATGCACCTCTAAGGGGAGATAGAATGCATACACTAGCTTGTTGGTTGCAACAGAAGGAAAACAGGGCCTTCATACAAGCAGAAGAGAATTCAGATATAATTACCATCAAAATTCTAAATAAAAGTAGAGCATGGGTTTGTTTGAGTACAGATCACTGGGCACTGCAGACATCAGGGGAACTTGCCCTGTCTGACAGGTTGGGAAGCCTGCAGGAGGCCTTCCTTGCTGTTGCCGCCTAGAATGGAGGGAGAGCTTTCTGCAGCACTTCTCCCCTGGGGACTCCTCTTCAGCTGCCAGGGAAAAGAGTGGTATTCTCTGAGCCCCTAGGTACAGTGAAAAACCCACTGAGGCTGGGGAACGATAAAAAGACCCCTCCCCCCCAGCCCCCCGCCCTGGGAAAGAGCAGGATAGTGAGAAAGCCTGAGCCAACAACTAGAGACCTATTCTGCCTAAGACTGAACCCTGGCAAACAGCTACTTCCACCCATCAGATTAGCCAGCACCAGTGGCAAGCAGAGGCACTCCATCTACTTCTGGAGGTGAGGCAAGACCTCACTAAGGCACAGGCTCCCACAAAATCCTACTGCTGAGGAGAACAAGGCTACTGAGAAAAACCTGCTGGAAAGTCAACACTTACTCCAAACCCTAAGAAACACCAGGAACTGAAACCCTGTGCTGAACAATGGCAACAATAACAAACCCAACCTAGTTTCATTTCTTGCAAGACTGACTTGATCTCACACATTAAAAATCTAATAGAAGAATTCCCAGAAATAAATATTACTTATCTTGGTCTCTGCCGTACATATTATGTCTGACAACAGATAAAACTTGTAAGACAGGGGGCTGGTGGAGTGGCTCAAGTTGTAGAGTGCCTGCCTAGAAAGTTCATAAGGCCCTGAGTTCAGACCCCACTACTACCAAGAAAAAGTTGTCTGTAATCCTAGCTACTTGGAAGGCTGAAATCAGAAGGACCACAGTTCAAGGCCAGCCTGGGGAAATCGGTCATAAGATCCCATCTCCAAAAATAACCAGAGCAAAAATGGACTGGAGGTATAGCTTAGATGGTAGAGTACCCGCTTTGTAAACACAAAGCCCCGAGTTCAAACCCCAGTACCACCAAAAATACATAATTGTAAGACACACAAAAAGGCTAGAAAAAAAAATACTGCCAAGAGATATTGAAATCAACACAACCACACTCAAGACTTGACTGCATTTCCCAGGTGAGGAATATTTAATCACATTAAAGGCTCTGGTGGAAAGGTGGACAACATATTGGAACAGGTAAGGAATTTCAAGAGAGATACAAACTGCAAACAGAAGCAGAGAACTTGAAGAAAAGTCAGTGAAAATTACTCAAAGCCAAATACAAAGAAGACACCATCCAAGAACTAGAGGAGATATCAAACTGCAGGTAGGCAGAGTGTGTGCTTGGCATGTGCAAGGCCCTGGCTCCAATTCCTGCCAAAAACAAGGCTGGATGCATGGTTCGAGTGGTAGTGCCTGCCTAGCAAGTGTAAAGTCCTGAATTCAAATTCCAGTACTGCCAGACAACAACAAAAAAGCCCAGGAAGGGAAGAGAAAATAGAGTAGAAGAAATATTTGATGCAGTAATGGCTAAGAATTTCCCAAAAATTATGAAAAGACATCAAGCCATACATCCGTGTAGCTCACAAAATAGGCCAAAATATACACACACAAAACCATCATCATAGTCAAACTAATAAAAACCAAAGAGAAAATCTTGTAGACAGTGGGATGAGGTGGGAAATCAAGTGGAGGTTAAATGCAATTGTTAAAAAAAAAAACAAAGACAAAAACAAAACCTCAATCCAAAAGTAGAAAAGGAACAAGGAGTTGATGGAATAAATAGAAAACAATTAGCAAAATAATGGATTTTAACCCAGTCACGTCAGTGACTATATTAAATGTGCATGTTCAAAACACAAGAGTGCACATCAGATTGTATAAAAAAGACATAGCTATGTACGATGGGCAGCCTTCTGCTGTGCCTATCTGAATGACTTGTCCTGAACTCTCGTATGTAACCATACCAGCATGCCTTCCGCCAGCATTTACCACCACACAATGTTATTTTAACTTTCACTGACCTTTCGTGAACCTAGCATGGCACATGGCATATGTTCACTGAACAACAGATGCATTTTTGTAAGAAAAACACTAATTGTACAAAAGCAAACAAGGTACCATCCTATTTCACCCACGTGCCTAACAGACTCTCAAGAAGACTGCCAGAGAAAAGAGGCTCTTTTGAATGCATAATTCCTCGTGCAATGATGGAGAATTAAAGAAATAGAAACCTTACGGAGTGGTTCTCCCAAGTAATAAGCTCAAGCCGGGCATGGTGGTGCTCACCTACTTGGGAGAAAGACGGATCATTTGAGCCCAAGAGTTTGAGGCCAGCCTGGGCAACATAGACCTTGTCTGAAAAAGAAAAGAAAGAAAGAAACCCCATAAATTCTGAATTATAGTTAAACAGAAAAATGGTTGTGCAGAATTTGAATGCACAGCCTTGACCCCATCCCTGGAATAATGCATAGCCAGGACTAGCAAGCTGGTTCCTCTGTGCCAAGAGGAAGGGCCAGTGAGAAGGCTGGGACCAGACAGCATCATGGAGCCAGACCTGCCTGCTCACTATGTGTGACCTGTAAATGGACTGCAGGCACCTCATCTCTCCAGCTGAAGAACTGATTGGACACCAGCAAAATCAGAAATGGTTCTGTCTCATACAACTCAGCAGTTTGCCACTGTTGAAAACCCTAAATGTGTACATACTGAAATGAACAAGCCAGCAAAGAAAAATTCAAGCTTACATAGAGAAATGAGAAGAGACGGAGTTAAAAAACCAAAACAAACCAAAATGAAACAAACATAAGGCTAATGGAAAAGAGGAAACAACTAGGGTAGAAAGATAAAGTTATCCAACAAATGATTTGGAATAACCAACTAGATATCTGGAGGAAAAACAAGCCCCTTCACCACTCCTGTGTCAGACAAACAAAACCAAACCAGACCAGTGATTCCCCAGTCCGTGCACATTTCTCTTTTGATGGTCCTGGCTCACACTTGCGAGGCAGGTGCTCCACTATGTGAGCCTCTCCACCAATCACCTAGCACGCTTCTCCTGCCCACTTTCTCCTCTCCTGATGATCACTCAATACTTTCCTCTTCTCGTAAAACTGCACTCCCCATTTTGATTTCTCACCATAAAACAGCACAAATTCCTATGTCTTGCTCAGCGCTTACTCAGAAGCAAGCCTTCAATAACTGTGTGATGAATGAATAGCTCTTAGGTAAAGTTAAGAGTCTCAGAGGACAAGACAGATTTTATGCTTTCTTCATCTATAAAACGAGAATAACGGTACTTTCTTTACAGGTTATTAAAAGTACTAATTAACATGAATTAAACTGACATACAGGACCATCCCTGTCAGGGACCTGACTCACAGTAAGTACATAATATTTGCTAACTACCATAATTAGTAGATTGTAGATTAAACAATCTTTTTTTTTTTTTTTTTTGGCAGCACTGAAGGGTCTCAGGCTTGCTATAGGCAGGTGCTCTTACTGCTTCAGCCATTCCACCAGCCCTTTTTTGTGATGATTTTTTCAAGACAAGGTGTCAGGAACTATTTGCCTGGGGCTGGCTTTGAACCACAATCCTGGGCCCTCCTATCTCTGTGTACCAAGTAGCTTGGATTTCAGGGATGAGCCCAGCTAGATTCAACAGTCTTACTTTCTACCTTGTCACTTGTGTGTGGTTAGACTGGCAGTCGGGATTGTCTATAGATGAAGCAAAACCCCTAAGAGAAGTCCCCCAAATGAGATGACAGCTAAAGAAAAATAACTCCTCTTTCACAAAGCAAACTGGAGTGAGAGCTCAAATGCTTTAGCAATGCCAGACTAAAGCATGATGTTGGTATGTCTGGTTTGATTTCGACCTCCTGACAACTTTATGCGAACAAATCAAATTATGTGTCTTACAAAGAGTTCTAGGAGAGAACTGTTGGCCACAGAAGACTGAACTGTATTTCTAGGCATGTATCAGTGCAGAACCTTGTACATGGCAGTTCATAGCAACATCACCCATAACAGCTGAAACGTACAGACAATCCAAGTGTCTATCCATACATGAACTATTAGCCATAAAAATAAAGGAAGCACTGATCCATGCCAAGCATGGATAACCCATGAAAACGTGCTGACAGAAGCCTGTTATAAAAGACCACACATACTGTATGTAGGATTCCATTTTTATGAAAAGACCAAAATAGCAAATCTACAGAAGACAGAAAATGGGTTGGTGGTATAGGGTGTGTGGGAGTACAGCTTGGGGACAGTGACTACTTACTTCACAGATGTGAAGCTGCTTTCTGAATTGATGAAATGTTGTAAAATTAAGACATGCCTATAATCCCAGCACTTGGGAGGTTGAGACAAGAGGGTTCAGAGTTCTGGTTAGCCTGGGCTACACAGTGAAAGCCTGTCTCAAAAACAAAAACAAAAACAAAAAAAGGGCTGGGGGCATGGCTCAAGTGGTAGAGCACCTGCCTAGTGAGAGTGATGCCCTGAATTTAAACCTCAGTGCCACCATAAAAAACAAATTCAGTGGTAATGGTTGTACAACATAGAATATACTAAAATATCGGTGAATTGTGCACTTTAAAAATGGGGAGTTTTAGGGGTTTTGTTTTGAGACCGGGTCTCACTAGGCTGGCTTCAACAAGGGCCTCCTTCCTCAGCCTTCTGAGTGGTGGGATTTTAGAGACATGCACTACCATTTATTTTTTATTTTAGAATAAATCTCTATGAGGGAAGAAAAAATTGCTATTCTTTATATTACAGTCATGTATTGATTGCTTAATGATGGGAGAGTTCTGAGAAGACCTTGACTTGTTTCTCAGTCTTTTCCAAATATATACCGCTGGTGCAGCTAATGATACCTCTTCAGTCTTGCTTTGGGGGAAGTAGATGAAGTATGGCTGCCTCTGGCCTGTGCCCTGACATCGCTGCCACTCGTAGAATCCATCTGCCAAAACAACACAGCGTCTTCCCTTTCCCAGAGGCTCCTGAGAGAAAGTGAGCAAGGCATGGTCTTAGAGATGCAGTCATGCTTCACAGGATCCACTAAAGGATTTGAGTTAAAAAGTCTCAGGTCAGTGGTGGAGCGCTTGCCTTGCATGCCCATAGCCCTTGGTTCCATCCCCAGCAATGCACAAAATAAAGTAAAATGAAAATGTTAGGTCCATGTGTGACCTTAGAGGAGTTATCTTTGTGTGTGTGTGTGTGTGCGTGTGTGTGTGTGTGCGTGCTGCAGGGGATGGAACCCAAGGCCTTGGGCATGCGAGGCAGGCACTCCCACTGAGCCACATCCCCAGCTCCAGAGGAGTTTAATTTCTCTGCATCTCATTTTTCTTATGTGTAAAGTCACTACTCTATTACACAGATGCTGAAAAGGTTACATAATTCTGAAAGGCTTACTAAGATCTGGTCTCTAAAGCTAGCACCCCATGCAGTCAGTCCCCTCCCACAGTGAATTGGGCTGGCCCCATGCAACTGATAGAACACAGCAGAAGTGATGCTACATGGTGGCCAAGGCTAGTTCACAAGGCTTAGCAGTTCCTCCTGTCCTATCTTCTTGGATCATGAGCTGTGTGGTAAAAGAGCTGCCAGATTGGAAGCTGGACTACCCTGAGCCCTCAAGCTAGGAATGTGGAAAGGCATCCAGTTGTTCTGGCCAAGTATGAGAAGTAGGTAAAGAAACCACCTTGGACCTTCACCTCCTTCTACCATCTGATTACAAGTACATCAGTATCTCTACATGAAAAACGCACAATCCATAGAATATGAGATAAATACTTTGTTTTAAACCATGAAGTCTGACATGGCTGGCTTGTCACACAGTAATAAACAGAATGGCACTCAACATTAACAATGGAGCTGGGTGCCTGTGGCTCACACCTGTAATCCTAGCTACTCAGGAGGCAGAGATCAGGAGGATTGCAGTTTGAAGCCAGCCTAGTCAAACAGTTCATGAAACCCTATCTTGAAAAAGCCCATCATAATAAAGAGCTGATGGAGTGGCTCAAGGCGTAGACCTTGAGTTCAAACCCCAGTCCCACAAAAAAAACAAAAAAAAACAAGTGAGCATACTCTTTGGAACCTTATTTTATTTCTCAGGCATACAAGGGGTACAACAGTAGACAAAAGGAACAAAAACAGAGTGTATGCCATTTCCCTAAGACCTGCTACCCACCTTGAACGACCGTTTCTCCATTATGGTATCGCTGCGACAGTTGGAAGTGTTGAACTGCAGCTTGGAAGGATCACTTTCCCTGAACCATGATGGGACCAGGCCCCACCGCATGGGGGCAATGACCCGCTCTGATGGGTCTGCATCCTGCCACAGAAGGAAAGGTTAAGACTACAAGGAGACACAATGAAATTAAAGCCAAAAAATAAATTTAGCACATGTATTACATAATCTTTAGAACTGAAGTACAAAGACTGTAAGATTATTCAAGGAGAAAGGACCAGCCAAACGTGGTACCTCAGGCCTGCGATCCCAGCACTGGGGGGTGGGGTGGGGCAGATAAGGCAGGAGGATAGTGAGTTCGAGGCCAGCTTGGCCTTCATAGTGAGATCCTATCACAAAAACCAAACCAAAAAAAAAAAGCAGGGGGGAGTGTATTTAAAAGGAAATTTTAATGATTTATCACAATATGGATAATCCAAGTTCTTTTCTTTTGAAACAGGGTCTCACTACACAGTCCTGTGGTACATGACATGATAGGTTAGAAGAGACCAGTAAACAGACTACATTTTGGGTGCAACTGTAATGGTTCAGATAGAAAAAGAAAAAACAAGTTTTCAAGTCTTGAAGAGTAAAATAATGATTTTTTTGTTTTTTGATATAGAGCTCACTATATAGCCCAGACTGGCCTTGAACATATTATAATGTAGTTCAGGCTGGCTTCAAACTCATGATCCTCCAGCACCAGCCTCCCTGGTACTGATATTTCAGGTGTGTGTCACCACAGCTGCCAGAAACAATGACATTACTGGGCCAGGGGTGTAGCTCATGGGTAGAGTGCTCGCCTAGCATGCATGAGGCCCTGGATTCAATCCCCAACACTGCAAAAAGAAAGAAAAGTGTATTACTACCTGACAAGAGAGAAAAATCTGAAGAGTTTGGTTTGGGGGAAGATCACTGGGTAAACTTCTGACACTCATAAGGTCTGTGGCAGTTTCAACTGTATTGAGTTGGGTTTTCTCCTTGTATCTGGATGGGTTAGGAACTAACAAACAGAATATGGCACAAGTGAACTGTATGATTTCCAAGGCTGTTAAAAAGGGTGTTGTTGACATATTGCTTTTGGTGCCCTGAGCTGCCATGTAAGAAATCCAGTTACCCTAAGTCTGCCATGCTGTGAGGAAGCCCAGACTAACTGAAGAAACCTCATGTAGGTGCTTTGGTCCATAGCCCCAAATGATGGCCCACATCAACTGCCAACTAAGTGAGTAAAGATCCCTCTAGATCAGGGGTTGACCACCTTTTTGGTAAAAGGCCAGTTAGTAAGTATTTCAGGGCTTTATAAGTTACAGTGTGTTGCAACTCTGTTGTCACAGTGACAAAGCAACCATAGTCAATTGATAAATGACTAAATGTTGATGTGTTCCACAAAATTTCATTTAAGAAACAGAGCACCCTAATGTTCTGACTCCTGTTGCAGATGATTTGAATCTCCCCAGGAAAAGCCCTAGATATCAGAGAGGGTACAGACCATGCCATCTATACCCTGTGCTAACCCCTCACTGATGAACTGGTGGGAAGGGGTTTAAGCCACCAGGGAACAGGGGTTCACTATATCCAACACACACTCACAGATGCAGATAAAGCTTAGGAGAAAGGCAGCCGAGGTACAGAGAAGGAACAGAGCTGGGTTCCAGCAGCTCACGCCTATAATCCTGGCTACTAGAGAGGCTAAAATTGGGAGGACTGAGGTTCAAGGTTAACCCAGGCAAATAGTTTATGAGACCCCATATCCAAAACACCAGAGCAAAATGGACTGGAGGTATGATACAAAGCCCTGACTTTAAACCCTACTCCCCACCCCCAAAAAAATAGAACGAGGAATAGTGAAGAAAGGGTGGAATTCCAAGAAAGGAATGGAAGTATCTCAGCAGGGCTTCTCTGTTTAAAGAAAATCAACTCCATTGTGCTGATAATCCTGCATCTATCAGTTAATTCCTTATATGCAGTAGTTAGCTTCTGTAGTCACCTTGAGTGAACTGCTGTTGCTCTTAGAGAAATACAAGGTTAAGTTTTATTCTGACATGTCCCTCCCACCGCCCATGGACTCCTGACAGCTCAAGGGACATTTCTGGTTGTTCTGACTGGGGCTGCTATGAGTATCAATTTAGTGGATACAGGCCAGGGATGCTGCTCAACGTTCTACAAAGTACAGTACAGCTCCTCACAACAAAGATCTACCCTGCCCAATCAATAGTGCTGAGGTTGAGATGTCTTGTTCTCACAATTCTGTTGTCCGCTTTTAACTTGAGTGTGTTCATTAGACCACTGTAACCAAACCGAAACATGAGGGTAATGAACACAAAGTGCGAGAAGCCAAAATACTCAAAATATTGCCCAGTATTAGTCATATGGTCCTCTACCATTTTTAGACTTCTAAACAGAACAGCTGGTGGCACTAAGGTAGATAAATGAAAGAGGAAGTAATTTGCAAGTCAGTGGTTTTAAATGCAAATGTTGCAATTTATACACATATGCTGCCACTGGTGATTTGGATAAAGAACTGCTGAAATGCTTCTAATTTATAAGCTTGAGAAAACAAAATATCAACTATTTATCAAATTAAGAAACCCTAGCAATCTTAAAACTTATTACAGATATGCAGTCAAACACAACAGCAGCAAATTCAAACCCTGGACCCAAAGGAGGGCTCCACCTCCTGGTTCCAAGATGGGTCTACTAGAATAGGGTCCTGGTCTGCATCTCAGTTCCAGCTTGGTCTCTCACTGACTGGGTGACTAGGAGTCACAGTCTTTCTATACTTCCGTCTTTATGTCTGTTAAACAAATCTTTCTTCCAGTTAACATTATTCTGTAATTCTACAAAGATATCAAGAAGAGAACTAGGGCTCAAAAGGAATAAAATACTTAATCCTTCTCTCCCTTCTCACTTTAAATTATGTCTTCCTTTGCAACATTTTCTCTTGCTTTTCTTGTCAAGGTTCTCCATGTTTGTCTTGATTTCTTTCTCATTAAAAATAAAAAAATCTTCAATAGGGAAGTATTCACCCTCTAAAAATGACTGAAGAATAAACTGTGATGTAAATGGCTTCAATCAACCAAGAAGATCAATGTTGGGAACAGTAGTGCAGCTCAGTGGTAGAATGAGTGCTTAGCACCACAAGGCCCTGGGTTCCATCACCAGAAAAAAAAAATTAATGCTGTGATCCCTGTAATGTAGAGGTGAGTACTCTGTGACTACCATAGTATCACAAGAGTTTTGAAGAGTATGTATCAACTTTATAAACTGATCTCAGCATCATGGATCAAATACAATCAAAACCCAAGGGTGGGCTAAGGGTACAGCAGCTCCGTAGAGTGCCTGCCTAGCATGCCTGATGACACTCTGGGTTCAATCACCATCACACACACACAACCCAAACTAAAGAAACTTTGGGATGGAAATAATCAAGATTTTTAAAACTGATTTTTTTTTGGCAGCACTGAGATTTTAACTTGGGGCCTCATGCTTGCTAGGCAGGCGCTCTTACTGTGTGAGCCTTTTTTTGTGATGGATTTTTTTTGAGATAGGGTCTTGGGAACTATTTGCCCAGGGCTGACTTTGAACCTTGATCCTCCTGAATAGCTACAATTACAAGCAAGAGCCACTGACACCAGTAATCTCAGCACTCAGGAGACTAACGCAGGGAGATCAAGGTCAACCTGGGCTATGAAGCAAACCGTTACTTATTAAGCGCTGCTGGAGGATGAACCAAGAGCCTGGAGCATGCTCCCTATGCATGCCACCTACCAATCATGGTTTTTTTTTTTTGATGGGACTGAGGTTTGAACTCAGGGCTTAGCACTTACAAAGCAGGCACTCTACTGCCTGCGTCACACCTCCAGTCCATTTTGTTCTGGTTATTTTGAAGATGGGAGCCTCACTAACTTCATTAACCATTTGCCCCGGCTGGCCTCAAATGGTTATCTTCTGGATCTCAGCCTTCCAAGTAGCCAGGATTACACCAGCATCCGGCCCAGTCATGATTTTTAAACAAAATATGGAGAAACGACTGCTTTTTGGAGCAGGCAATCAGGTAAACAAGGAAGACATGATTGTACAATTACGGGTCTCTCCAACGCTGTAGGGATAAATACTGCCAATACCATAAATGAGCTTAAACTTAAAACCGAGACGGTTCCACTCAAAGAGCAGAAGCTTGTCAGTGCTCAAGAAATACTGGACGTGTTTTAGCTTGGCTGACCACGGGCCTGGCCTGCCAGGAGGTTCGGCCTAGCCGCCTGGCGAGGGGCGTGGGCCGCCGTGTGAAGGACGGCGTGGTTACCTTGTCCACGTGCAGCCGAGAGAGCAGCACCGGGCCGCGGGCCTGCGGGCTCTGGTTGTAGGACGGGCGGTACTGGTCGGGGTCCCTCCACCGCGGAAGCCGCAGCTGTCCCTGCGGGTCGCGGTAGGCGCAGGCTCTGGTGAGGACATCCCTGGGGAGGTGGCAGGACGTGCGGCCGCACATGCTGCCGTCCGAGGCCGCGGTCGCGCCTGGCCCTGGGCGGGGGCGAGGGCCGGTCAGGCCGCAGCGGAGGCCGCGGGGCCCGGAGACCCGCTAGGCCGGTCCACGGTTCCGCCGAGGGACACGCGGGGGGCCGCCCCTCCGGTCCCTGCTCCTTCTCCTCTCCCCTCCGCGTCCTCACAAACCCGCCCCCTCGCCCACCGGCCGGCCGGCTCCGCTCCCGGGAGCAGCCGTCCCAGGGGTCGGCTGACCTCGGGGCCGCGCCTTCCCGTCCCCCGCGCCGCCTGCCTAAGCCCGAACGCCGGCTCCGGGCGCCCTGCCGCCCACGGGCCCGGTTCCGCTGAGCGTCGCCTCCCCTCGCGTGCGCCGAGCCCGGTGCCCCGCAGCCCGCGCTCCCCGGGTTGTCCGCCCGGCCTCGCCCCTCGCCCCTCGCCCCGCCCCCGCCGGCGCGCCGTCCGCGTCAACTCCCGGAAGCGCCGCAGGAGGGCGGAGGACACGCATGGCGGGGCTGCGGGAGCCAAGCCCTGGGTCCACCGTCGCCCCGAGCTCCCCAAGTGACAGCCCACCCCCAGGCCGTCCCGCCGGTAACCGACCTGAAACCGAGAACCCTGTTCTGTCCTCACAGCCCTGCTAGTGACCTCAGTGTCGGGACAACCGCCGGGCGTCACACAAATCACCCGCAAGCGTGACGGGCACCAGAACAGACCTTGAAGAGTTCCCCGGGTACTCAGGACCCAAATCACTGAGGGTAAGGGAGGCCCACTTTTAAAAGGCTACCCAGGTGTACTGAGGCCACTTAAGACCACCTGGCTGTAGTTTAAAGCCTGCTTGTCTGGTTCAAGTGAAAGTTCCCGGAACTGGACCGAACAGGACTCAGGATCTCCAGGGCACGCTGCACCTCGGAGCTGATGCTGCCTGACTTCTAGGAAGGAGCGGGGTGTGAGAAGGCATGAAGATGACTGGGACCTCAGCCTGCACACTTGTACTGCTCCTTCCACCTTGGGACCAAGAGAAGGAACCAGTGTCACAGGGCTGTGGTGCCAAGACTTGGTGGAGGGAGGTCTTCTGACTTTCAGAAGAAGCTATCATTCATAAATACAGGTTCATTTATTGTACAGATAAGATGGTTTCTTTAGGGATAAATTCAAGAGAAGGTGCAAACATTTTATTCATTTGTGATGTCCTTTCCCTTGCAGGCAAGGCAGCTAGAGCTGGGACAAGCTAAACAAATACCCTATTTTTAAACATATAACCCTAGCAGTCCTGGATGAAGGGGCAGATTTAAAAAAAAAAAAATCACAATGATTCCTGATTGTTTTTGAACACAGAAGCTCAGGAAGGAGCTCTTTCACTTTGTTGGGGGAGGTGTGACTTCTTCGTGGTGTGGGGGTAAAAGGTAGGAGCAGGGCTGATCATGGCTGGACCCTTAGCCCACAGATGCCAAGATGATGTCGACTGGCAGCTCCTCTGTACTTCTAGCTGTCACCTGCATTGTCACTGTGTCCAAAAGCAGCAGCCGAGAACGCACGAGGATGTCATGACCGCCCCGAAACACACCTGGAAAGGAAGAGAGAAATAGAAGTGTGTGGCAGTGGAAGCTAGGTTGAGGGTGGTGTCAGGAAGTTCTGGTGCAGCGAAGTGGGACAGGAGAGCTGGAGTGAGATGGGGTGAGGCCTGTGCCAGTCAGTTTATCTCTGAGCTCCAGAACCCTCAACACAGTGGTGGGAATAGTAATGCTACTGTATTTCAGGCTCCTGCAAAGCTCAAGTGAATCCCTGAGCACATGGGCCTTGCACCTGATGTCACAGAGGTTCTCACACATGGTGGCTGAATCAGAGCACAGATGAAGGGGACAGCCCCAGCAAGAGAAAACCACAAGACCCAGGGGACTGAGTTGCTTCAATATGACCAGGAAGGATGGGCTGTCAGCTGTGAGCATGCACTGAAGCACAGCGTCCTTCCAACCTGTTTATAAACACTTGGGGGGGACAAAAAAAACCACCCAGGCTGGGGGTGTGACTTAGCTGTAGAGCATCTGCCTAGCAGACACAGGCCCTGGATTATACACCAAGGGAAAAAAAATCCCTTTCTTTTGGGGGCAGAAAGCACAGTACTGGAGTTTGAACTCAGGGCCCTGAGCTTACCTACACAAGAACTATTGAGCCATTCCACCAGACCAAGTAACTTGTGTGTGTGTGTGGTACTGGGGTTTGAACTCAGGTCAGCACTTAAGTCACTCCTCCAGCCCCCATTTCCTTTTGTTAATTGCTTTCGGTATGATTATTGTATTGCCCTTTTTATGTTAAATATAGGGTCATTCTCTCTTGTGAGAAACATAGCTACAAAAACATTTACATTTGAATTATATCCAGGAAATTGCATGAAAATAGTTCGGAGGAGAGAGCCTTGGGTAGTATGGACAATGGAACAGGTAGGAGTAGGTAGGGTTGGTTCATTACACTGTTCAGTTTTGGGGTATGTGTGAAAATGTGTAAGATAAAATGCATAACTGTCCATTCTTGTTAGAAAATGCCGATCAGCCCATTAGACATTTAGAAAAAGGACAATCAAGTCATAGAAAAGGGAATAAGTGGAAGATGCTTAACTTCATGCAAAATGCACAAGTGTGATGATACACTGTGTTGTCTAGGGTGTGAAGGACCGGTGCCTGATTCCTATGGAGGACAGCTGGAAATCGCTTATCAGAATGAGAAATGCAAACCACCTTGACCTGTTTGCACAGTAGTGCGTAATATGCATAATACCACTGAACACTTAAAAGTGGTTAAAATAGTAAATCTATGTTCTGTGTATTTTAGCACAATTAAAAGAAGAAGAAAGCTCTACATGTTGACAGATTATCACGCAAATGCACTGTAATGTAAAAAGCAAAGTGCAGAACAACGCATATTATTTCCACATAAACAAGTGCATTAACAAAGGGGATGGCAGCCAGGTGGGTGATGCACACCCTGCAATCCCAGCTCTCAGGAGGCTGAGGCAGGAGGATCCCGAGTTTGATGCCTACCTGGGCTGCATATGCAGACACTGTCTCAAAACAAGGGGCGGGGAATGGGTGAGAACCGTGGTCCTGTCAGTTGTGTACCAGCCACAGAATGACTAGACGTGCAGGTGCTGTTCGTAACAGCGACACTGGTCCTGTTGGAAGGGAAGCTGGATTGCTGGTGGCAAAGGTTGGGGGTGGGGGAGGCATGGTCTTATTATAGAGCTTAAAGTGTACTTTCCCAGTGAAGTCCGCCTGAGAGCTAGTGGCATTCCCACCTGTGAGCTAGCCTGGCCTTCCTGACCAGAGATGCTGCTTACCGGCCAGGAGCAGTGTGTGGGTGTTCTTGTTATCTGGCACTTTGTCCGACCTCTCACAGGGGTGCATTCCCAGAAACTTCACGATATTGCCTACAGCCTCTGTGAGGAGAAAACGCAGCAACATTAAGTCACATACATGCGTACACACACACACACATGTAAGTTTTTTCTTTTGGTGTTGGGGGTTGAACCCAGGGTCTCGAGCATGCTAAGTATTGACTCTACCACTGAGCTACACTACATCCCAGCCCCCACCCCACCACCATGCTCTGAAGGGCTTTTAGTTAAGTGGCATTTGACATATGTGCTGTAGATGTGGCCCTGGAGCCCTGGAAGGAAGAGGGGAGGGAGTTAGCAGGGTCCCCCCGCGGGGGACCGCCGCCCTCCAGAGAGACCCCCGGCTTGCAGCGACCACCGCGGCCACCCTCCCCCGCCCCATCTCCCCTCCCCCCAGCAGTAGCCAGGGGTTCTGAAAGGCAGGCAGTCTAGAGGTGGCAGCCCCGGGATTTTACCCTCGAGTGTCTTGATGGTAGACAAGGTGAATGCTTCTTCCTTCTCAAACGCAGCCCCTACCTCATCCCAGGCTGCTTCGAAGTTCAGTTTCATGACTTTTTGGATGTGATCAGCTACAGTGACTTCTAGATCTTCCAGCTGGACAGAAGAAAGTAGATGTTAGACACCCATCTCCGGAGGAGAGACTCCCTGCTCCATGTATTTAGAAATGGCCTCTACTCTAGCCTCATGCACTCATCCCTGCCCGGAAGCTACCTCAGCAGGTGCTTGCCAGGTGTGCTGAGTACTGGCCAGCTCTGGGGCACAGTGACTCGGCCAGGTTACCCTTTCTTGAGGTGCTCATGGCCAGTGGTAGGCTTTGGCAGCAGCCACTTCGGCCTTGGCAGATACTCCCTGTAGCTCTGATGTATCCTCTAGCCTGACATGTTCTGGGCCCCATCTCCATCTCAGCTGTGAACTTGACACATACTACTCCCACCCACCTACCTTGGACTGACTGCATGTATCTTAGGGTTCTCCTTTCATTCACCCAGCAGGTTTTCACTGAAGCCCTACTCCTGTGGTGTAAGGTGCACACGGGCAAGACGCAGTTGAAAGAAGGGACGCCTCAGCCACAGCTCTTACAAGGGGAAAAGTCTTATGGCAATCCCTACCTTAGAGTCACTACGACCTGTTGCTTTCCACAGTGACTGTCCCTCTCTGGTCATAAGGAGCTCTAACAACATGTCCCCAGGCTGAACATAATGGTCTATACTTGGATGGCATCAAGTGTTGAATCACCTCCCCTTGGCCGACCCTCCAAGGGATCCCTTGCTCAGAGAGGAGGATTTGAAAGGGCTACATTAGTTCACAAAAAGACTGTTCAGCAAATGGGTTCAATTTATCTAGAATGTAACTTGACAATTAAGTCTTAAAATCATGCCTGCCCTGTCACCCAATTACTCTCCTCAGAATGCATCCTGAGCAGAGGGGTTTTAATGCTGTGGTAGACCAAAGCCATTAGAAACTAGTGAGTATGTACCATGTGCAAGGCACTCCCCTATCCCCTTCAAAAAAGGGGAAGTACTTGTAATGGTTTCAAGTGAAAACAGCAAGATCTATAATGCACACATGACCTCAAATATATGACTTCCCCCACAGAAGGACTCCTAAGGATTACGGATAGCATTCTCCTGTTTCTTTATACTTTTTTATTTCTCATGTTTTCTTTTTATACATGAACATGTATTTTTGTAAGTTAAAAAAAATTCTTTTAAAGAGAACTGTAAACCAAAACAGCAAGATTTGGTCTGGTTATCAGCTCCCATAGGGAGCTGCTCTGTAATCTTGAGCACTAAATGGGCCTCCCACAAGCTTACCACATACTCATCCTCATAGCCTTCATCGTCGGTCTCCCCTGTGGTGGGGTCACAGTCCTTGACAGTGAACTTCATCATGCAGCTAAATGTGCAGGCCACTGTAAGGAGGAACAGCTGAGTGGTCAGGAAGTCCCCAGCCTGCAGGCAGATGAGTCCTCCACAGGCGGGTGGCCACAGTCTGCTCTCCAGGCCTCTACTATCTGCAGCAGTGACATGCCATCCAATCCCAGCAAGTTTGTAGGACAGGAAAGTCAAGTCAAAAGTCCAAGGTAAAGAGAGAAGAAAGCAAAGCCGATGCAGAATGCTGTGTCCATGTGGGTCATTAGGCCACGGTCCAAGGTATGGAAAAAGAAGCTAGTTTCCTTGGGAGGAGTGGATTTGGGCTCTTTGTAGTTTATGCCGATCTTTGAGAGAGAAAGTGGCATAATGAAAAAGTACTGATTTGAGTACCAAATGGGCCTTGGTGCTAACGAAGACAATTCATTTAACCTGAGCCTGTTTCCTCACCTATGAACAGGAATGGGAGTACTTACACGAAAAGCACAAGGGCCTATTCTTAGGACTGAATCGAGGAGCTGCCCGCTCCATCCTCACCCTCCCACAAGGCCAGGATGGCATCTAGAAAGTGCTCACCAGCTGTGGGGTCCTCCTTGGGCAGGGCCACCAGCGTGTAGCATGTCCCAGGCTGGTTGTACGGCAGGCTCCGGGCAGGCACATAACAAAGCACCTCGTAGGCTTCAGTGGGTTCCATCTGTACTGTGACGTTCTCCAGAGTCTGGTCATTGAGCGTGTTTGTGCAGTCAAACTGCAGGATGGGGGAAACTCAGACACTGCTCAGGTCCAAACCATACTGCACAGGAAGAGCCAGGAGGTGCCCCCCGCCATGGGCCAAGTGGACCGCCCCCCAGCCCCTGCCTCAGGCTCTGTCTGGCTGAAGGAGCCAGAGAGGTCCTGGTTCAAGAGGTTAGAGGCACATCACACCTTGGACCACTCTCTGGGTGCCTGTGCCAGCAGCTTCTGCCTGCCCTGCTCACCTGAAACACCATGTGGTCAGCGAAAGTGTGCTTGGTGCAGCGGATAACATACTCTGTCTCCGACTCAGTGAGGGCCACTGGCTCGGGTGAGGACTTGAAGAGGGGCCCGAGCCCATGGAACTCTGGAACCGCTGCCAACTGCTCTGAAACCCACAGGCCACATTCACTTGGCTTCTTAATTGCCACACCAACATGGGATGGGTTTTTGTTGTTGTTATTGTTCTTGTTTTGAGACAGGGTCTTGCTATGTAGCTGATGCTGGCTTTGAACTTGTGATCCTCCTGCCCTGGCCCTCTGAGTACTGAGATTACAGATTTATACCACCATGCCTAGCTTTTCATGATATCTCATAAATTCCCACACCAGTTCTCAAGATCTTACACCATACCTGTTTGTGTACAGCTGGCTACTCGTTTCCTGAATATATTTGCACATTTTCTCATTTCTCGTTCAAGCTGTACCACCCCCGACCAGAAATGTTCTCCTCCCCTCTGTCCTATGAAAGCCCTCAGGAGCAGCAAGTCGACTAGAAGATCCCTGTGTCCCAGGCCTCATCCCATTTGGAGATTCCCTCACCTTTAGAGGCTCAGCAAGGATTCTTAGGAGGTGGAGATTGGGAAGAACTAGGAGGCTGTGGTACACACTGTTACAGCTACAAAATCAGGAGAAAGAGCAAAGTGGTCCTACCATTGGCTGCTTAAGACAAATGTATGATGGAGAACTACTCTGTTTTTTGGGTTTTTTTTTCCTGAGACAGGGTCTCACTATGTAGCTCAGGCTGGCCTTGAAGTCATGATCCTCGTGCCTCAGCCTCCCAAGTGCTGGGATTACAGGCATGGCCACCATGCCTCACAAAGAGCTCCTTCAGAATCAGAATGTTGCAGAAAACCCTACTCAAAAGGGCCCATGGGTACCTGGTAAGGCCTCTCCCTACACGAGATAACCAGGTTCTGGCACTGGGCTGCTCAGGAAGAGCCATAGCTAGGGTCACAGGACATCTGCATGGGCAAGTATTGGTATTCCTTGCGGGCTGAAGGTAATAATGCAGACGAACGAGGCATTTGGCAGGTGTCCACCTATAATGGCTTCGGCTGCTGCTCTCTTACCTGTTCTACAGATTTCTCAACTGTGTTCATGAGCCGCCTGTGTTAAGCCACTGAGCTTGTGGCACTGTGTTACAGTGGCAATAGGAAACTGATACAGATCAAGAGATTTCAGGACAGAGTCAACTCAAGTTAACTCAAGATACAAGTCTCTCTTAGTTTCAAAAGTGACATGTTAAGAAAGACAGGATTCTGGAATTGAAGGGAAAAGGGGAGATTTCACTTAATAATGACTGGAAGCCTGCTTTGAGGAAGGCAGGCCCTGTACTAAGTGCTACAGCAGACAACATCTGAAGAACTTTTCAGACAGAGCAGGAGTGAAAGTGAAGAGCTCAGGAGAGCAGGAAGGATTTCCTGAAGGAAGAGGTGCCTGGGCTAGTCCTTGAAGTAGAATTCATTGGAGAAACTGGTATGTGATTAGACCCAGCCTCTCCTCTTAAATAAAGTGCAAGACTAGCCAGGCACCAAGTGGCTTATGCCTGTAATCCTAGCTACTCAGGAGGCAGAGACCAGGAGGATCACGGTTCAAAACCAGCCTGGGCAAACAGATACATGAGACCCTATCTCGAAAAAACCCATTACAAAAAAGGACTGGTGTAGGCCCTGAGTTCAAACTCCAGTACTACAAAAAAAAAAAAAAAAAAAAAAAAAAAAAAGCAAGACTAGGCTGAGGGTATAGCTCAGTTGTAGCGCTTGCCTAGCATGAGCAAGAGGACCTGGATTCTATCCCCAACACACACACACACACACACACACGAGATAAAAAAACCTTACAAGATAATGTGGACTGATACATACAGAATCTAAAACCAGTATCAGTACCTCTGACCACAGCTGTGCTCCATCAGACATCTTGAACTGGCCTGGTACCTAGGGACCTGAGCCCTCACAATTTGGGCAAGAAGGCAGCTCTGAGGCAGTTTGATCTGGGATAATTCCAGCCATTCCATTTCCTATCTATGCAACCATGGGCAAATCACTTTACTCTCTCATCTGTGATTCCAAGATTCCAAATGGACCCACTGTGCCTGAGGGTCAAAAGTGTCAAAAGGCCTCCAGTCTCCAGGGCTCAGCACTCAGGAGAAACCTAATAAAGTTTTTATTCTTTTTTCTTTTTCTTTTTGGAAGTAGGGGTGGAACCCAGGACCTTGCTCATGCAAGCATTTACCGCAGAACCACACCTCCAGCCTCTAAAGTTCTTCCTCTTAGTCCTGGGCCATCAGTAGCATTAGGCTCTGGGAAGTACATGACCCCACACCATCTCACTGCTGGATTCCTGGGCAGCACTACTCACCCTGGAAGATCTCCTGCCGGGTGGCGGCCACTTTCTCAGGCTGTTTGGCTGCTGTGACTGGCGTGTTTTCTGTAGAGCAAACATACCTGGTGACCACAGGTCCTGTCACAGTATGGTGTGGACCCTGTTGCTATTACTTAGATATTATAAATTCCAGTGCTCCCAAGTGTGTGGAGCGTGTGAGGAAGAGCATCTGGGGCTCCATCTCCTGGGATGGAGGAGGGAAAGGTCAGACCCTCTGAGCACAGCACCACACATCCTGGTTCAATCAGCACCTTGGCAATGAGGCTGGGACCTGAGGACCTGGTGAATGGGGGTTGCAGGCCTTACCTGTTCTCTGCTCTGCCATAGGTGTGGTGGCCAGGGGCACAGACTTCAGGTCAAAAGGTTTTTCCGATGGTTCTAGAGTGTACTGCTGCAGAGCCCTCTCCAGACCAGGGATGGACACTGTTAGACCTAGAAGGCAGTGAGAGAGCAGTCCCTCTGTCTGGATGGCACCAGAAACACCCTTGGAAGACTTAGGCCTTGGGATCTCCCATTATGAATGCTAGGTGGTTTGACCCTGAGAAAATCACAACCCTCTGGGTCTCACTCCTTATCTTCACCCTCCTATCCAGAGTTGGTGTGGGGAGTAAACACAGATACAAAGCAGTTCATAAAAGGTAAAGTGCTGTGAAAACCAAAGTTTTTATTAATAATGATGGTTTAAAAATTAAAACACTAAGTTCTTTCCACTGAGATGGGAGTGACCTGCATGACCTATCTTCCAAGGTCATAGCAACGTAGCCAAGAGTATTTTGTCTTGACTTTTGCCTGCTCTGGAGCCACAGGAAAGACCAGAGCTCCCGCAAGATGCTGGGTCAGATGGCCGGGAAGACTCACCATTTAGAATATAGCCTGCATTGAGGACCTTCTGCTTCTGCTCCAGGACATTCAGGTAGAAGGTGGCTCGGTCCCTGACTTCATTGTCATCGTCCATCACACACCTGCAGCCGGGACACAAGGTGCTACTGACTGGGGCCCAGTAAGGGTGGCAGGAAGGGCCCTACAGGGCTGCATAGGGGTGGTGGGGGAAGCAGGCTCTTAGCCTGGCTGGCCTGGAACTCATGATCCTCCTACCTCAGCCTCCTCAGTGCTGGGATTACAGGTGTGCACCACCACACCAAGCAACCTTGTCTCTTAAAAAAATTAAAATTAAGTTGGGAACTAGTGGCTCATGCCTATAACTTTAGCTACTTGACAGGCTGAGATCAGGAGGCTTGAGGTTTGAGGTCAGTCCAAGAGACCCCATCGCCAAAATAACCAAAGCAAAATGGACTAGAGGTGTGTCTCAAGCAGTAGAGCAACTGCTTTGCAAGCATGATGCCCTGAGTTCAAACCCCAGTCCCACAAAAAAATAAATAAATAAAACATATAGGTATGGTGGAAGTTTAAGGTCAGCCTGAAACTTGCTGTTTTTTTGAAAAAATGTCTCAAAATAAATAAAATTGCTTGGTGTGTTTGGCCCTGTATTTGATCCACAGCAATGAAAAAATATAAAAAAATAGTCAGGTACTGGTGGCTCACACCTGTAATTCTAGCTAATCAGGGGGCAGAGATCAGGAGGACCGAGGTTCAAAGCCAGTGCAAGCAAATAGTTTGTGAGACCCTATCTTGAAAATACCCAACAGTAAACAGGGCTGGCAGAGTGGCTCAAGTGGTAGAATGCCTGCTTAGCAAGCATGAGGCCATGAGTTCAAACCGCAGCACCACCAAAAACAAACGAACAAACAATGGGCTGGTAACTTCCTGGGACTGAAGGTTGACTAATGGACACAGGTTTCTCTTGGGGTGATTAAAATGTTTGAGACTGACTGAGGTCATGGTTCACAACAAACTGAATATGCTACAAAGCACTTACGTGTTAAGTGTTAAATGCATGAGCTGTATGGTGCCACTCATTTCTCAATGTAGCTGTTTCTAACATTATCAATGGCCATGTCTCAGTGGTGGGCTTTGCATATGATTTTAATCTTTCCTATGCTTTCTGTTTTTTTGAGGGGGTGGGGGGACAGCCTTGGGGTTTGAATTCAGGGCCTCACGCTTGCTAGGCAGGCATTCTACCACTAGAACCACTCCACCAGCCCTGTTTTGTATTGAGTATTTTGAGATAGGGTCTCATGAAATATTGGCCAGGGCTGGCCTCAAACTGTGATCCTCCTCAATAGTTAGGATTTACAGGCATGAACCACCAGTGCCTTGCTTCTATCATATCATATTTTTTAGTTTTTGGTGGTATTGGGTCTTGAACTCAGGGACTTGTGCTTGCTAGGCAGATGTTCTACTACTTGAGCCACTCCACTAACCCTACTGGTTTTTTTTTTTTTAAACAATTAATAGCTGTGTATTTTTTCTCCCCTTTGTAGCTGGTAAAAAAAAAAAAAAAAGACAAGGGAACACTGTAATCCACTAAGGTCCTCCATACTCACCTCTTAAGCAGTACCAAGATACTGGGTAGCATCTCTTCATTCTGGGCTCCAAACTTGGCCAGAGCACTCACAGCGCCTGTGTTTATGAAGCAAATGTGATTTACCCAAAGTGCCTGGATGCTCACCATTTCAGTGCTCAGGGTAGGTCTTTAGGCAGAAGAGACAAGAGGCTCAAAGTCACCACCTCTCCAATGAGTGGCTTTGGGCAGATCCTGGCACCTCACCTATGCTCCCATTCTAGGAGCAATTCTCAAATTAGCAATGACAAGGTCACAGAAATAGCTTACAGCACCAGGCCCGGCGCTTCCAAAGGCCTCAATTTGCAGTTAAAGCTAGATCAATACAAATTAGAAAATAAAGTATTAAGGGTTTTTTTGGGCAGCATTGAACTCTGGGTCTCCTACTTGCTAGGCAAGTGCTCTATCACTTGAGCCACTATGCCAGCAATTTTTTGTGACAGGTTTTTTTTGAGGTAGGGTCTTGGGTTGCCTGTGGCTGGCCTTGAACTGAGATCCTCCTGATCTGTGCCTCTTGAGTAGATGGGATTATCAGTGAGCCACTGGAGCCGGGCACTATTACTTAATGATACCAATTTCTAAGAGAAATTTGCCCAGTCAGGATATAAAAATAAAGAAACTGAAAACAAAACTAAGATAATAATGAGATTGTTGCTCACTCTATTGTACATATTTTACAGAAAAAGGTAAATTTATTTATTTTTTTGGCAGTACTGGGTGTGGGATTCAGGGTCTCATGCTTACTAGGCATGTGCTCTAACACTTGAACCACGCCTCAGTCCTAAAAGGGTAAACTTTAATGTGTGTGAATTGTATCTGAAGAAGTTACTACTTGAAAAAATTTTTAAGCTCCACCTGGTGGTGCAGGCCTATGCACCTGGAGGCTGAGGCAGGGCCATGACTTCAAGGCCAGCCTAAGCTACGTAGCAAGACCCTGCCTCAAAAAAAAAAAAAATGCCACCTCATCCCCCACCAAAAAAAAAAAAAAAAAAACCCAACATAAAAAAGAACTAAAAAAATCAACAAATCATCAAGGTCCCGTCCATTCAAGCAGATAATATCTAAGACCATTGCTCCAATGTTGCAGAAGACGGTTATGAGGCAGGACATCACTGAAGAAGGTGAAGAAGATCAGACCTACCCGCGCGGACCTCCTCGTGTTCCAAGACCACGCGGTTGTAGATGAAGCGGATGTACTTGGAAGGGTTGTTGGTCTTGGGGCCCTCCTGGCCCAGCAGGTGCAGTATGCGGGTGGCTAGCACAGTGAACTCACAATCCTCGATGAACTCGCACAGGTGTGACAGCCCCGTTTCCTTGCTCTCTGAGTTCTCCTCAATGATGCTGATTATGCAGTCCACGATGGCACGTTTGTACTCAAAGCCGCCCTGTGGAGGGAGAGGTTGAGTTGGCCTTGGAGCCTGCTCCCTTCAGAGACAAATGAGGCCCAGAGCCACTGCTCCCAACTGAGCCTGGAGGCAAGGCTCCTGGGTAAAACAAAAGGCTTGGTTTTCTAGTTCTTACAGAAGGCAGTTTAGGGTAGAGTGGCTCAAGTAGGAGTGCCTGCCTAGCAAACATGAGGCGCTGAGTTCAAACCCCAGTACCACACACACAAAAAAGAGTCTAGTGGAAACAGTTTGGATTGTATTTTCCTTCCTGACTTTGAGGTAAGACAACAGGCAGAATAGGTGGTACAGCTGCTATGGAAAACACTATGGCAGTTCCTTGTAAGGTTAAGCATAGTAATTCTACTTCCGGTATAGACAAAAAGAAACTGAAATCAGAGAGCTGAACTCAGGTTCACAGCAGCATTCCTCATACCAGCTAAAACATGGAAGCGACTTAAGTGTCCACCAATGAACAAATGGATAGATGAACAAAACATGAGCTACCTATGAAGGAGTACCATTCAGCCTTAAAAGGAAGGAAATTCGGACACAAGTTACAACCTGGATGAACACTGAAGACATCATGCTAAATGAAATAAACAGAAGAAAGTCAGGCACCAGCGGCTCACACCCGCAATCCTACCTACCCAGGAGGCAGAGATCAGGAGACCTTATCTCAAAAAAAACCCTTCACCAAAAAGGACTGGTGGAGTGGCTCAAGGTGTAGGCCCTGAGTTCAAACCCCAGCAACACACACACACACACACACACACACACACACAGGCTGGATTGCTGCCGTTCACAGGGAACTTGTTACACACAGTCTCAGTCTGACCATGCAAGGCCAGGAACTCCCCTGCCTGACATGTAGGAGGAGTTTGTAACATGGGACACTGAGTACACAGACCCCAAGAGAAGCATGGGATCTTTAGACCGTCAGGGCAGCTGCTCCTTCTTGAGCCTGCCCTCCCACCTGAAGAATGCACTTTCACTGTACTCATGCTCGCTTTTGCACTAATAAACCTGCTCCTGCTTAAGTCTCCTCTGTGTCCATCCTTGATCTTTTTACATTGACACTAAGAACCTTCTGGCCCCAGGACCCAGTGCCCCGAATCTGGTAATAGAGGTACACACTTGTAATCACAGAAGTAGGCAGGCTGAAGCAGGATTGAGTTTATGGTCAGCCTACACTACATATTGAGACCCCCATCTCATCTCAGCCACCACTCCCAAAAAAGATTAAGATGGAGAGGTTGGTGATATAGCTCAGTGGTAGAATGTGCTTAGCATGTGTGAGGCCCGGGGTTCCATACCCAGCACCACAAAAAAGAAAAGAAAAAGACTAAGATGGTAAATTTTCTATCCTTCTAATTCAAAATGTTTTAAACTGTACAATCCAAGGGACTGGGCTGAGCTGAGGGTTTAGCTCAGTAGTACAGTACTTGCCTCATATGCACAAAGCCCTGGTCTGATCCCCAGCACACACACAAAGAGCAAATAAAACTTGAGAGCCAGGTGTGACCACTGTTCCCAGATTACAGCTTCTGTTTTATGGCCATTGGTAAGTCGGTTTCCTTCTGTGAGACTCGGGCCATTGGTGTGTTTACCTCACAGGGTATTCTGAAAAGCATTCTGCGCGTATGCAAATGATGATTCAACAAAGCTGTTTCAGGGGTAGGTGCGCTTTAAACCTCAAACACTACTTTTAATCTCAGGACTACAGTGAGCCAGTCTGGCAGGTTCTGAGAGGTCCAGTCACTAAGCATCCAGGCTTTTGTGGGCACAGGTTTGATTAGAGATAAGCTGTCCTCATGTCTGAGTGCAGCAATCTCACCTGACTATTGCATGGAGACGTGTATCTTTCTGGGAGGTTGGGAGGTCCAAGAAGAAGAGCTCAGGCTTTGGACCCAGATGGATCTGGGCTCAGATAATTGGTCAGGTGTTCATAGGAAGGTCTCTTTGCTCTGAGCTTCAGATTCCTTACTCTTTTTTTGCAGTACTGTTATTGAATCCAGGACCTCACACATCCTAAGCAAGTGCTCTACCACTGAGCTACACCCCCAGGCAGATCGCTCATCTGAAGGTAAAAAAAGGTTTGATGACAAGGCCCCAGGAGGAGGATAATGAGGCTGCATGTACAGCATGCTGTCTCTGAGGTGCCAAGCCACAGCTGAGGGTTCACTGAGCACTAGTGCCCTTCTCCCTTCTAACACTCCTGAGAAACCCCAAACACCCAAGGCAATGGTTCTGTTGAGATATCCAAGAAATGAAATCACTAATTCACATCAGGAGCAGAGTACAACACATGTCACATTATTAGCACCAATTCCACAAAAGGGCCTGGAACACTTCTGCACTGGATTCCTTCAGTGGAGAGCATGCATTTCCCCACCTTCTGCCCAGGCATGTCCCTGGAGCATCTGCTATGCCTTCAATGCCAGGCTGGCGCACCTGTGGTCAAGACTGGAACCACTAGCAATCAGTGTGGGTCTGTACCATCTGTCCACAGGAGTAGAAAGGGCTGCAGGCATCACTGGGTCACAGAGTGACCTGAGCACACTCTCACAAAGGAGGCTGAGCCTGGAACCAGGAAAGCTGGCCTGCCCGAGAGCCCCAGTCTTACCTCTTCCCGAAGCATGGTGAACAGGAAGCTCATAAGGACAGCATGTTTGCGAGGGTACTTCTGACACAAGGTGCTGATGGCCTGGACAACCACCACCTGCATCAAACAGACCAGCATGAACAACAGCCCTGCCACCAGGCAGGTGACTCAGTTCACTAAATGCCAATTGAGTCTCCTTAGGTCAGGCCAGGTCTTGGCACACAGCACAAGGGCAAAGAGATAAGAGGAGTCCACTACACACTGGAGGCAACGTTTCCTGGCCTACCCAGAGCAGGTGGCACATGGCAGCCCCCAAAGCCCCAGTCAGATTCTGAGTCCCCCAAACCATGCTTTTGTACTGAAATGTCAGGGTGGGTCTCACCTCCCTGCTTGTCCCACCTCCTTCTTGCTCCCCAGGGTTCCCACATGTCCCCTCTGCTGGCTCTGCTTCCATCCTGCTGGTCTCTTTCTAATCTGTCCTCTGCTCTAGTCTCAGTCTCTTTGGCAATCTTATTTCCTGTCTTGGCTTTCACCTCCTTTTTTTGAATATTTGAGACAGGGTCCTCCTTTGTAGCTCAGGCTGGCCTTGAACTCTCGATCCTCTCACCTCTGCCTCCCAAGTGCTAGGACTACAGGCACACATCACCATGCCTTTCTTCACCTCCTCTTGTATGCCAGTGACACCCACATCTAGATCTGCATCTTCTGCTGTCTACTAGACAGTACTGCCATGTCTGCAGGCACCCCAAGCTCAACAGTCTACAACCACAATCATTATTCCTCAGGCTGGAAGCGGCACTGCCAACCTAAAGTAAAAATGGTGGCGTCATTGCTGTATTCACCTGCTTAGCCCTCAGGCTACACCCAGCTGAAAGCTGGCTCCTCACATGATTCTCCCCACCCCTCTCTCCTGCTCCAGAAAGGGGTTCTAATGTGCAACTCTCACCCCGCCATCAGTCTAACAGTGTTCTTGTAACCCACAGGGAGAGCAGATTCTACTCTGCATCACCATGCCATAGAATCTATCCTGCTGTGTTCTAATTGTACATGCTATTTATTGTCGCTCTGACTAAAACTCTCCAATAACACACTACGTGGTTCCATTTATATAACACTGTGAAATAACAGAGGGGGTGCTCAGACCTTTTAATTTATTTGTTTGCATCTTTCTATGATTTATTTCAAAATAAAAGTATAAAAAGTACTACAAAAGCTGGGTGTGGTGAGTCAGGCCTATAATCCTGGCACTCAAGAGTCTGAGGCAGGATTGTGAGTTGAGGCTAGACTGGGCTACATGAGATGTCTCAGGGGGTTAAAAAAAAGGACTATAAAAACCAAACCAAAACGAAACACATTCTCACTTTTCCAAATGTCTTCCTTGCAATCGAAACTCTTTCATGAGCTGTAGACCCCAAGTGATTCAGCCCACCTGCTCTGCCATCATCACCTCCACCAGCCCCAAACACCTATCCCCAGCTGGTCTCTGTTCCTGTGCATTCTCCCACACCTCTGGCTGGTTCACCTCAGAATGGCCTTCTTGGCCAGGCTCTCTGGCAACTTCTACTTTATTTGTGGATCTTCACTGAATTACATGTTTACTTGCTAATGGCATACCTCCCCTGACAGAAGGAATTTCCATGATTGCAGGCTCCTGTCCTGCTCACTGCTCGGTCTCCTCTCCTGAGATTCCATAGTCTCTCCTCAGTGCCCCATAAATACTTCGAGAGAAATAAATGAACCTGGCTGGCCTGGCAGCCACTGTTCTTGGGGTTCAAAGGGACTGGGGATGAAGGCCCAGAAGCAGGGCTGTGCATATGCCCGGGTCCAATCCCCACAAAGGCAACTGCCCACCCTCCACCAAGCCTCAGGCCACCCAGTCCTCAGGCCACTCCCAGCACAAGGCCTACAGATGTGGACGGCAGGTAGAGGGTGTGGTGTACCTTGAACTCATCCGAGATCTCTGACATGAAGGAAGAGATCTGCTTCATGAGGCGGTCAATGCTGCTCTCACTGCCCGTTTTGAGGAGTGTGGTGATAGCCAGTGTGGCAATGCTGCGATTCGCGTCTGTGACCAGGTTCTCCAGGTCCAGATTACAAGCTGTCACAGCTGATGGGTGCTTCATGGCCACCTGTTTGCAGAGGTCAGAGACACAGAGAGGGCAGGATCTACTCTGTCACTTCAGAGGAAGGGCTGGCCTGGTCATATGTCCTCAACAGGTTCACTTCCTCAATCTGAACAAATAATGAGGACCAGCTCTCTCCCATCCCCTAGCTCTGGCCTGCCTCCCTGAACCCTGGCCAAGAGGCCAGGCCCTCATTCTCCACACTCCTGGGCCCTTACCTTATTAAGGGTGCGGACAGCAGCGTAGCGAAGGGCAGCCTTGGGTGAACTGCAGAAAAGCTGGAGCACTGTGGGAGACAGATGCCATGTGCCAGCCACACTCGGGGATGGGCAGCTGGAAGACTCAGGCCTCCCAGGAGCACACACATCAAGGGTGTGTGAGCACTGTCAGGCAGGTAAGACAAACCCTCTGTTCAGCGAACAACTACAACAAATAGATCCTCATGCTGGGTCCCTGAGCCATGAGCAGAGGCCTGGACATGTTGGCAAGGACCCACAGCCTCATGAATGGCTGTTACTGAGCACCAGTGGTGTGCTAGGCCTCACTGAGTGGTGAGCTTCGTCTCACCAGGAGCAACTACTATGACAACCCCTATTTTACAAATAGGCAAGTTGAGGCACAAAAGCCAACTCTAGGCTTGCTGCACTGAGTGCAGACGCAGTGTTAAAACCCAGCACTGAAGCTGGGTGCTGGTGGCTCATGCCTGTAATCCTAGCTACTCAGGAGGCAGAGATCAGGAGGATCACAGCTCGAACCCAGCCCAGGCAAATACTTTGTGAGACCCTATCTTGAAAAACCTTTCACAAAGAAAAGACTCGTGGAGTGGCTCAAGGTGAAGGCCAAGTTCAACCTCCACTACTAAAAGAAAACAAACCAACACTGCACGCGCTATAAAGTAAAAATCCACCAATCTCTCCTGTCAGGTCCACGGGAACCAACACAACTTCCCTTTGGTGCCAAGTGCTGTCAGGCACCATATCCATCTCTCTGCCTGGGTGCCAGAAGCTCAGGGCTAAGCTTTATGCTAAAACACAGTCCTGAATATGATAACTGTATTCTGGAATTCCATGTTCCTCTCCATGATATTTTAAATTTTTTTTCTTAAAATAGTATATTTATTTTGAAGCCTCTACTTTATGTCTTTCAATGTTCTGGAAATATGGGTGATAAAGGAATTAATGACTACCCAATTCAGCGGATGAATTCATTGCTTCTCTGGTTTGTTTCTGAGGAGGGAGACTTGACCTTCCACAATGACCCCATCTCTCTCCCCAACTAGGCTCATCAGCACTGTGGGGAATATTAGGAAAATACTCTTAACACTCCTGCCTCATCTTTGCTTTCCAGAGTGCTCTCTTCTCTTCCACTCTGAATCCAAGCCTCTCCTTTTCTAACCCTAAACATATCCCGTCCAGAACCAGTCCCTTAGCATTCTACCCACGCTCACTGCTCTCACCCCAGCACCAGCACAGGGGCCTGCAGATGAGACACCGAACACTACCAGCTGAGGCTGCTGGATTCTCCAATAACCACAAATGCACCCTCATGCTGTGCCCACTACAGTGCTGCATCTGCTCTGGTGCCAGGCAGGTCACACATTTTCTGCCTACCATAGTTCTGCATAATAGGCACAATCATCCTCCACATTTCAGAGAGGAAGTAAGGCTTGGGGAGCTTATCTGCAAAGGGCAGCGCTAGGACTCAAGCCCAGCTGTCAGGCTCTAGTGCTCAGGCTGGCAACATCCCTCATACTGCTCTCTCCTGAAGCTGGCAGCTCAGCCCCACCAAGCATGCAGGGCCTACTCCAAAACATAATGCCTGTGACAGTGCCTAACAGAGTGGTGCCCCTGTGGGCCCTGGCTCCTTAACACAAGACCATGACTGCTTGAGGGCATTTTCTCCCCCGACCTGATGCTTGGTTCCCAGTAGGCAAAGACAAATGCAGCTGGGTGAAGAAATGCATGCTGACCTGACACAGCGGGGGCCAGCTCTTTGGCACTGCAGCCTGGCAAGTTGACGATGGCTGAGGCAGCTTCATATACCACCATCTCATACTTATTGCGCAAGCAGCTCTCGATGAAATCAAACAGTGGGCTGTCACGACTATAAAGAACAAGGGTGGCAAAAGAAGTTGTGGACAGTCTGGCGTGGCAGAATGAATGAGGCATCATCCAGCTGGCAGGAGACAAGAGTCCTCACCTGCCGTCCTCCTCTTCCAGCTGTTTGCTGGCCACTCGGATCATCATGCAGTAGGCAAAGGGAGACTTGAGGCCGTGCCGGGTAAACTTGCTAATCATCTTACTGACAGCCAGGCGGTCATTCTTCCGCACATGGTACAGGAGCCCCAGTGCGTGGTACTAGAGAATAGAGGTAGCAAGAGACAAAGGCATGTGAGCCCCAAGTCTACCTGCCATGCAGCTCTGGGCTTCATGGGCTCTGTGTTTAACCACACAGAGGGTTGCAACATGCCCCAGATACTCTGTGTACACAGCCTGCAGTACAGTGCTCAACACACACAAACATGTCTGTAGGTCTTGTTTCCAGCCCAATTTTGCAAGGACCTCGATTGGCATGGTGACTATGGATGTGGAGGGGACAAGACATCAAACCTGAAAGGAATGGCTGGAGACCCAGTGTCATCCACCAAGAGGTGGGACGGAGTTATGCACCGTGTGGTACCAGATAGGACCCAGTGGACAGGAAACCTTACAACTGCCATGGGGACCAACCTGCTTATCCCTGCTCGCTTGCCCAGACTCATGGCCAAGCTGGGCCTGGGGGACTGGAAATCCAGGGAGCCCCCTCTGGAGATGTGAGGTACCACAGCCACTTCCTGTCCCCCCTGTTCCTTTGTTTCCTAGCCACGTGATATGTGAGGGCCAGGACCTGGCAGCTGCTTTCCATGTGCGAGTGTGTCTGACCCTCAGAGGTGTTTGGAGGGGTTGTGTGAGGTGAGACCCTTCACCTACGTTTTACAGACAAGGAAACCAGGCCTGAGTCACTGAGGAGAGCTGTGCAGACAGAAGCCCTACCAAGAAGTTCCAACATTTTGCTTGCAAAGCCAGCCTGGCAAAGGCCTGAACAAAGGCACCCTCTGCCTGCCAGGGCCCAGATGGCTGTGACAGCCATGCTACAAACAAGCTCTGCCGGCTACCAGCCCCCAAGCATTGCCCTCAAGGTAATAACAAAAGGACTAAAGCCTGCTGTGGCCAGGAGCCACCAGGCTCTTGTGGCCAGTGGACGCCCACTGTCAGAGTGTCCTCTGCACCACTCTTGCCCATACCTTACCTGGACCATAATGTTATCACTGGACGCTGCCTCCTGGGCCTCATTCACCCAACGTTTGACCACGTCAAAACTACACTTCAGCAGGTGCTGTGGGCAACAGGGCATATCATGGGGCTGGCAGGAATGTCTCCCTATACCCCATCACACTCCTGGGCTGGACCTCCCCACCATCCTGGTCCTGAGACCATGACAGACAGCACAGCTGCCACCCTCATTCTCCCCCGCTGGCAGATTTCCTGCCAGCAATCTGTCACCCCAGGATGAGCTAAGGCTACCCACCCGGCCCTTCCCAATCAACCCTGAGTTCCTGTGGTCTTCACTGAGAAAACAGGACTCTTAGACTTGAGGAAAACCAAACTATGGCATTTATTTCAGTCTCCCACTACCCCCTACAGGGCCCCAGCTACAGTTACATACCAGGGAAGACACCAAGGCAGAGCTGGAGACACTTGGAACCTTGTCCACGATGGCCTGTTTCATGTAGCGCTCAATGGCCTGCAGCATGGTACTCTGTGGGGACAAGGAGCAGGCGGGAGGGGCCCTCAGGAGTGCAGGCGATGGGGTACAGAGGAGTATGGGAAAATGGAGGAAAAGTTTTTCAAATATTCCTGTACACCACTCTCACCCTACCCCACCTAGCTCAGTGAGCTGGGGTAGCCTTCAATCAAGAGCCTGGGAAGCAGGAAATGGGCAGCTCACTCACATCAGTGATCTGGCAAAGTGCTCGCACAGCTGGGCCCCGGTAGTTGTCTTCTTTCCCAGTCATGTCCTTTGTCAGGCTGCAGCAGGGAGAAGGCTCTGTTGACATGCAGGGAGCCTGGGCCTGCCCACTCGTCCCAGCTCCTGTCGGCATTCACCTGGATTACTACACAAGTGCTTCTCTTCTATTCTTACCTCTGCAAGCCAAATCCAACTCACACAGCAGGTGGAGGGATTTTTGTAAAACTCAAAACTGACCAGGTCACTCCCCTGCTTTTATTAAGACATTTCCATAATTCCTAATGCACAAAACAGAGGAGTTCCCCAACAGACTCCACTCTTTCCTCTCGAGTCTGCATGTGTTGCTGCCTCAGCCTGGAGCAATTTCATCTCTCATCTCCACCTCCATCCTGCAATTTTTTCATCCTTCAGAACTCCACACACACCATTCTCCTGGAAGGTCTCTTCTGGTCCAAAGTCAAGCTGGTGCCTTTCTTTTTCCTTTTCTTTCTTTTTTAAAAAGCTGGTGTCTTTCTGATCTGTTCTTACAGCCCATCCCACTTCCAATAAGTCATTTCACACTGCATCTTAAGGGCTGCCTGGTTATTTCCCTCTAAATTCTGAGGCTTCTGAGGCTGCTGAGGCCATGGCTGTCTTGTCTGCTGCTATATTCCCAGAGCTACACATGGACTTATATACACTAAAATATTTTTTTAAATGCACCTACACATGAACATATGGACTCCCAGGCCCCCACTGACACACTGTGGCAAGAAAAAAAATACAGGAATTGAGCACCATTTCTCAAGGACAGGGATTATATTTTACTGACACCTGTCCCCTAAATCACTCAGCCTAATGCAGGAACCAGTATTTGGCAAGCAGACATGCTCATGTGCCTCTTGCCCTCTCTATGTCTGTTTTCATGAGGTCTCTCTTAGTACTAACCAAAGTCTTTCTGAACATATGAGGCTAGATGGGTTGACTAAAAAGAATGAAGAGAAGTAGGGTTTGTGCCCAAGTCCAGGAAAAGGAAAGAGAAGCAGGATGTGCTAGAGGCTGGCACAGGATGGGCAGGAGTAACCGAGGACGAGGACACAGGAGGAAAGGGCACCTGGCCTCTCAGTGGAACTTATCAGAAGAGCCATGCACTACCCAAAGACTCACCTGCTGGTGACAATGATGACATCCTCTGCAATGCAAGCCATCTCCTTGATGGTCAAATAGCACATCCGACGGAGTGTGGGCTGGGAAAGACATGGGGGAAAGCCCTATGTGTTCTGCTCAGCAATAAGGCAGACTGAAGAAGAGACCTCTGATCTACTGAAGCATTCGATGCTGAATGGGGTCAGGTCCCCTTGGCCCTCCCACCACCCTGTCATGCTGCTACCTCTCCAAGAGAGCTGGGACCAGCACTTACATCATTGGACTGAAAGAGCTTGGTCATGGCAAAGAATGCCTCGGTTGCTTCAGTGGTCCCCAGGTGCTCCCCCTGTGTTGACAGAGAAAGAAGCCTCAGCTTGGGACAGAGATCAGATGGTTCTTTCTGCTGGTCAGCACAGACCAGATCCTCAGCCCCTGCAAGGGCTCTACCAAAGGCAACATACCAGAGCTAGGGGCTCAGGGGATCCAGACTGGGGCTGTTTACTATAACCACACAGCCTAAGGGTGTATTCGGACTTGTGCACCCCTTTCAACAGTCTCAGCTTCCCTTTTCCCTGCCCCACTCTCACCCTGTTACCTGGTTAATGAGGTAAAGGATCTTGGTGAGGATGTGGGCACATTTCCGAGGGTTGATGGGAGTTTCATTAAAGACACGGGCCTAAGAAGAAACAACCAAGGATATTACCTTACAGGCCAGTTCACTTCTCTTCCACCCCAAGTACACACGGGGTCTGAGAGGTCATAGAGTAAATAATGCACCTGCCTAGCCAAGCTTATTCTCATGAGGAAAGAGTTCATTTTTCTCACCTCACCTATTAACAATTCCTGAAATCTCACCTAATAATTAGGGGTGTGCTGACTTACTAGTTACTTAGCAATCAATCAGTTAGCCAGAAAGAGAAATGAACGGACTCGTAATAAACTGTCTTCTGGAATAATACTTTTCTCTTCCCAGGTACAGGTTCCTGAAGCCAGCACTCTAGATGTTTGAGTATTCTGACTGCACTTATGGTGAGTGTTCACAAGGAAGACAGAGGACAAATGACACTTGCCTCCTGGAGTACCGAACTTTTCTCCAGGTGCTGGAATGGGTTGGAGCCTCCACCTACAGCCAAGGAGAACATGGAAGACTGATTACACATTGTGACCCCAAGTTTAACTCTTAGACTCAGGTCAGGGAAAGATGTCCTTATTACCTACCAAGTAAAGTCCAAACACCTCAGGAATGGCAAACCAGGCTCTTCAATCTGTCTAGACCCTGCCACTCTTGCTAAGGAGGTTCCACTTCTGGAGACCCCTTACCAGCAGGACTGGGTCAGGCTTCCTGGGCCTTCTTTTGTGTCCTGTCTTGCATCCATTCATGCAACCTGAACTTAGTCCACTCCCTATGTGCCAGGAACCACCAACTACCTGTAACCAAGTGTCCCTGATGGCAAATGGCACGTTTGTAATTAATTACGTGTGTGATTACCTAGTTGATGTCTGTCTCTTGAACTGTACGGGCATTCTAACATTCCCAGATCAGGCCCTGAGGGTCCCACTTGCTCTACTACAGTATCTAAACACAGGACAGTGCTTAGCATTCAGTAAGTGCTCAATATATGTTTGCTGAATGAATGAATGAATGAAAGGGCCAGTGTTCCCAGCCACAGGACAATGGCTCTGCAGTTTACGTCCTAGGATGGCCAGCACCAACACAACCCTGGCACACACCAAAAAGTCAGATGAAAAAAGCACCAGGTAGCATCCAGCCCCGCACCCTCCTCTGAGGGATGGGGAAACCGAGGCCCAGAGAGGACCGTGACCCGCACAAGGTCACCCAGCAATCAGAGTGGGGGCGGCGGAGCACCTGCTACTGGGGTCTCCGAGCCCTGCCGCTGACCAGCTGCGGACCCTGGCACAAGCCCTTACCCCTCCCTGGGCCTCGGCCTGCGGGTGCGGACAGAGATCCCGAAGGAGGGCGCCCAGGGAGGGTCGGGCCTCCCCAAGCCTCCCACGAGCCCCTCACCCGACTCCTCGTCCTTCTTGTCGAATTTCTTCAACATGCTGGTGCCAGCGGGGGCAATGCAGCAGAGAAGGAGCAGCCAACTCGGCTCACAGCAACGGTGCGCAGCAGCTTCTCACCGTCCACTTCCGGGCTCGGGCCGGCCACGTCGCCATGCGCTCTGCGCCTGCGCACTCTGCATTCTGCGCCTGCGCATACTCAGCCGCCCCTGCCGCGCCAACCTCGACCCCGTCCTTGGACCGGGGAGAGGCGGGGCCTGGGAGGGCGTGGTCTGGGGTGGGTGGGCGGGGCCTTGAGAGGCGGGGCCTTGAGGGGCGGGGCCTTGAGAGGCGGGCCTTGAGAGGCGGGGCCTGCAGCCGGGACTGCGCGGATCTCTGTGCCCTTCTGTATTGCAGGCGTTTGCGGTCGCCTCGCGTGGTCGTGGCTGAGTTTAAAGGGCTGTCGTATGGGTGTGTCGCAGCGCACCGGCCCGTAGAAGTCGCCCCATTAATGTTACCTGTTGTTATTTTATTACTATCACTTCCGAGGGAGGTCTCGCTAGCTTCTCTTTACTTTCAGTTCCCCTCCCCTGCCGGATTTTCCTTCCTAGCTTGAGTGACCATCAAACACCCTATATTTTTACTTTCTTGCTTGTGTTGACTCTGATTCACTGCTGGGGGGGTAACGGTGGCCCCTAGTAGTTGCTCGGCAAGTTCTTTTTTTTTTTTTTCAGTACGGGAGACTGAACCCAGGGCCTTGCAGGGCCTTGCTCTTGCTCTCAGCAAGTTCTTGTTGAGTGAATCAATGCTTTTATAACGCACCTCTGCCTCTGCCCCTGGCGCAGACTTAAGTTATTTTGGCTTGATTTGGCTTCTGGAAACAGGCCCTCAGTCTGTAGCTCAGGCTGCCTCCTGCCTCCGCCTCCCGAGTGCTGGAATTACAGGCGTGCGCCACCATGCCTGGCATAGCAAATTGTTCTGTAGCTTCATTACCCGGGATCGAAGGACTAGCGTGAGGCTGGGGGCAAGAAGAGACACGTCTCTCAGGGATGATCTCCCTGGTGCCTCAGGGACGCACAGAGCAGCCGAGGTGCCAAACTGGGCGTCAGGACAGCCCAGTACGCCCTGGAAGGAACAGAGCCTGAACCGCATGGCGCGAAGGCAGGGGCTGGGTCACAGATGGCAGGGGGACGGGAACATAACATCTTCCAGTAAGGTGAAACTGTCAGAGGCCAAAAGTTCAAAATCTAACTTGTAACCCCACCCCTTATCCGGAGGAAATCACGCAAAAGAAGAAACCAAAATTGTTCACTGCTGCAGTTTGCTGCCAGATAGTCAGAACCCCCTAAATGTCCATCAGGAACAGGCGGCTAAGGGATATTTCTAGTCGGGCGTGGTGATGCATACTTGTAATCTCTGCTTCCTTAGGGCTGGTGATGTAGCTCAGTGGTAGAGGACTTGCCTACATGTGCAGGCCCCAGGTTTCATCCCCAGCACCCCACCCAAAGTTATTTTAGCTTTTAGAATTTGAGATACGCTTCACATAACTTAAAATTCACCTTTTTACAGCCAGGCACGGGCTAGTACTCAGGAGACAGAGATCAATCAGGAGGATTGCGGTTTGGGGCCAGCCTGGGCAAATAGTTTATGAGACCCTATCTTGAACAAAAAAATCACAAAAAGGGCTGGCGGAATGGCTCAAGGTATAGGTCCTGAGTTCAAACCCCAGTACCGAAAAGAAAAAAAAATCACCTTTTTACAGTGTATGATTCTGTGGTCTTTAGTATACTTGAAAAGTTATTGGGGCTAGGGGTGTAGCTGGGTGGTAGAATGCTTGCTAGTGTGCACAAGTCCCTGGGTTCACTCCTCTGCACTGAAAAAAGAAAAAGAAAAAAGCACAGTGTGCACCTATCACCACTAATTCCAGAACATTTCCATCACCTCAAAAGCATTCATCACTTCTCCCAGCCCTGGCAAGTGTTCATCTACTTTCTGTCTCTACAAATTTGCATATTCCAGGGCTAGTTTTTAGCTCAGTGCTAGTGTTACTGGAGCCAGCGAGGCTCCAGGGAGGAGGTCTCCAAAGGGGAAAAGGCCTCTGCCTGGTCCATGGGTACCGAGTTCAGGACATTGTGGCAAAAATGAATTTAGGACATATAGAGGTAGAGACCAAGAAAGTTTATTAGTAAAGCAAAGCAAAGAGATGACAGTACACAGCCCAGACATGGGCATGGGCACATTTGCTAAGAGGTGCCCAGCATGCTGTGACATAGGGGGTAATTATGGCAAAAAGGTGGGTTGATATTTGGCTCAAATTTGCCTTAGGATGAGTGTTTCCCTCTGTTCTAGACACCTGATACAGCTGAGCGTTCCAGCAGTTACACCGTCCTGACATACCATATGCACCAGAGATACAGTCTGCTCAGTTTACTAAATTTTGAGATATTATAACATAGATGTGTGAGTATCTTTAAGCAAAGAATGAGTCAGGTGCTGGTGGCTCACACCTATAATCCTAGCTACTCAGGAGGATCGAAGTTCAAAGCCAGCCCAGGCAAATAGTTTGTGAGACCCTATATTGAAAAGGAAAAAAAAAAAACCCCAAAAAAGGGCTGGTGGAGTGGCTCAAGGTATAGGTCCTGAGTTCAAATCCCAGTACTGCCAATAAATTAAATAGATAAATAACAAAGGATTGTCTCTGTCAGAATGTTCCTGTCAAGACAGATGTCCTGCCTTAAGATAATTTGTGGTTCAGGCCTATAACCCTAGCTACTTGGGAGGCTGAGATTGGGAGGATCACGGTTCGAGGCCAGCCTGGACAAATAGTTTTGGGGTCTCCAATTCCAAAATAACCAGAAGAAAATGGGCTGGAAGTGTGGCTCAAGAGGTAGAGCGCCTGTTTTACATGTGTGAAACCCTGAGTACCAAAAAAAAAAAGATAATTTTTCCTTCTTTGCAAATACTTCTGTGCCCAAAGGAGTTTTTCCTCCAAGAGAAGTGTCTTTCTTTAAGATAATTTTACTCTAAGGTGATGGAAAAGTCTGCTTTCAGATGGTTTCATAGGGTCAATAACTAATTGTACAATATTTTAAGATTTACTTGTCTGAAAAGGCATTTGCTTATGCTGCACAAGTTAAATTTATAAAATCCTTATGGGAGTGACTGTATTTTTGTTTATTTCATTTCTGTATATCAGAATAAATTTATGCTTTATTTTTATTTTAAAAAAAAGATAATTTTACTGAGTTCCCAGAGTGTGGTAATCATTCATGCAAGGTCCAAGGGAAACAGTTACTCTCTTCTATTTCTTTTCTTTTTTAACTAAATGTTGCAGCTTAGCAAGGGAGTGTGTGGCACAAGGAAAATAGTGCCTGTGTGTTTTTAGTCAAGCTGTTCATCAGCACTGTAGAGTGTTTGTCTCTGAATTCCTGGTTCCTGTTTCCCAGGCCTCGTTTTCCTGTCTATACTGCCTCCGTAGAACATGTGTTTAGCACGCACAAGGCCCTGGGTTCAATCCCCAGGCTCCCCCCAAAACAGACTTACCTGTCCTGGATATTTCCTGTGAGTAGAATCATATATCATGTGGCCTTCAGTGTGTTTGATGCCTACCCATCCATGCTGCAGCATGAACCTGTACTTCATTCTGCTTTATGGCTGAGTAATATTTCATTTATGGATATATCATATTTTGTTTATTTACCAGTTGGTGAACATTTGGGTTGTTTTCACTTTGGGGCTCTTGGGAACAATGCTGCTATAAACATTCCTGTACAAGTTTTTGTGAAGACACTTTTTTTTTCATCTGTAAGAGTAAAAAAAAAAAGTGGAATTTCTAGGTCCTATGGCAACTACATTTAACTTTTTGAAAGCAGGCTGTTTTTTCCAAAGCACCAGCACCACTGTGCATTCTACCAGCAGTGTGTGAGTGAGGGTTGTATTTGGTTATAGTCATTCTGGTTGGGTGTGAAGAGTGTATTGGCCATTTGTAAATCTTCTTAGAGGAAATGCTACCATTAAGCTACATTCCCCAACCCTTCTTACCTTGAGACAGGGCTTGCAATGATGCCCAGGTTGGCCTTGAACACAAGACCCTCTTGCCTCTACCTCAGGACTGCTGGAATTACCACCACATGCAGCTCTTCACTTTCTTGGTAGTGTCTTTGCACAAAACTTTTTCAATTTCAATGAAGTGTAGTTGGTTGGGTGGTTCATGCCTGTAATCCCAGCACTAGGGAGGCAGAGGCAGGAGGATCTCAAGTTTAAGGTCAGTTTGGGCTACATAGATAAGGCTACCCTATTTCAAAAATTTTTAATGAAATTCTACTTATCTATCTTTTTCTTTCATTGTTTGGGCTTTTGGTGTTATATCTAAGAAATCATTGCGTAAGCAAAATCATTAAGTTTTACTCCGTGTTTTATTTTACAGTGTTACTCCTTACATGTAGGTCTCTGACTTTTGGTTTAGGTTGGTATTGGCAGGTGGGGCCAGCCCTATCCTTTCACATGGGAATAGTAATTACCAGCACAGTCATTGCAAAGACCATTCATTCCTTCCCGCATGAATTGTGTGGCAGCCTTGTTGAAAGTCAGTTGACCGTAAAGCCCTGGGTTCCTTTCGGGACTCTTTGTTCTATTGCATTGATGTTATAAGATGTTACAAGATGTTACCTGTGGAGGAAACCGAGCAAAGGGTAAAATGATCTCTCTGTATTATTTCTTCTAACTGTATGTGAATCTACAATTATCCAAATAAACATTTAATTTAAAAATCAGAGATCATTATTTCAATGACTTATCACCACCATTCCCAAATGGAAAACAAACAAACAAAAAACAAAAATCCTGAAAAATAATTCTAAGAATTTCCCATCTTGCCTTGAGATGGCCTCCCTTGCCCTCCAGGTGGCGCCACCTCCATCTTTCTGTTCTAGTTAGGGGCAGGGTCCCCCCGTGGTGGTGATCCTCTGCACACGTCCTTCTGACACCACTGTTGCATAATGGTTGCAAACATGTGTGAGCTTTGATGAGTAAAACAGAGCTGGGCGTGCAGCTCGGCGTGAGCCTGTTCAGTCCCCGGTGCCACAAGAAGTAGACAAACTGAAAGGCATCTTTAAAATAAAATAATGGACATAACACAGTATGCTGAGGATGACCACTGCTGGGGCAGGGAGGTCACAGGACAAGG